GGCTTTTCTCACAAGGGTTTTTCCTGTCACACGCTGTTTTCCCGCCCTGGGCCTCACCCACGGCTCTTGTAACTGTGCAGTGCATGACCAATATTCACTTGTATTGGTTCCAAATCCGCGCAAGATCAAGGGCTGCCCAATGTAGTTCTTTTGATGCTCAACGGCTGCGCCGTTCTGTCGGAAACATTCCTAAGGCTGTTGCTTGCGCAGAAACCTGCAAGGAGTTACTTGCCAGGACAGAGACTCTTGCTGAGGTTGCTTGTTGCGCTTTCCTTGGTTCGGAAGAGCGAGAATGCAAGAAAGTGCCTTGCGCAAAAGGCGAAGTTTCTGTCCTTAGCGCATCCGCGTGTGAGAGCTGGAAAATGCGACTGCGCTGAAAGCATTGACGTGCAGGAAAAGACCCATGGCTATTCTCACCCATGGATTGGATCGGAAGCGAGCAATCCTACCAAACCTTGGCAAGGGCAGAGTTCGTTTGACACGCTTGTTCTTGTATCTTTGAAGGGGTTCCAGCTGGGTACAAAGCCATTTGGAGAGGTTTCCAAGGGCCAGACCAGAAGGAAAAGAACAGAGGGAAAGGGCGCAAAGGCAAGGTTTGTGACAATTGCCATCCAAAAAAGAGAATTACTTTGCACGCAATTGCTCCAAGCCAGTTCGTCGAAGGTTCTAGAAGTCCAGGGCAGCCACTGTTTTTTTGCTCAAGCCTAAGTTGTGTCCACTTGAGGCCGTTTGGGGGAGATTCCGATAATGATGCTTTTTGGGAAACGTCGCTCGACTTGAGTGGAAGCTGGAAGCTGACTGGAGGAGATGGTTGAGCGAGAGGTTTGGAGCCTGATCTGTCCCCGTTTGAAGTTGCCGAGGCTTCGTCGCTTAATGTCGCCATGCTGTGAAGCCATCTGGGGAGAGTTCGCCACTTGAAGTCGCCTTGACGTCGCCAAGGGTCCTTGTCAGTCAGTGAGCAAGGGTTCGCCACTTGACGTTGCCATTCGTTGCTTGATGTCGCCAAGGGTCCGTTCAAATAACAATCAGGACACACGAGGGTCCACCGCTTGAAGCATGTACATAGGACAGCAGCAACATGACATGCGTGACGTAGCTTTCGCCGCGCCGTCCAATGTCGATTGTGGTGGACACTGGCTTCTCGCCTCAGGAGCGAGCGCGCACCTTGTGAGCCAGCGCGTGGTAGAGAGTGACGCAAAAGCCGCGCCTGGGCTCGATTCCACTCCCGGCCTTCCCCGAGCGTGCATGTTGAAGGGACCGAGTGTCCAAGTATGCAGAGCAATTTGGGGAAATACAGGTGCCATTGTGGGATATCGAATATGCAGATGATACCGTGTGGCTCTCCTCTTCTGCGGACGAGCTAAACCGGCTCTTGCATCTCCTACAGCAGGAAGGTCGCGTCCGCGGCCTACATCTGAACACCAACAAGTGCGAACATATGCGCCTCAACACAGATAGACGAGTGTATTTTCAACCTGATGAATCTTCTCCTTGCGGTTGCATATACTGTCAAGGCTCCCATTCAACCCTAAAACCGGTCTCTCTCCAAATACCTCGGAGCTTATCTTGACACGACTTCCTCGAACAATAAACACTTACGTTACCGAATATCACAGGCGATTGCTGCGGCCAAATCCCTTCGCCCTCTTACCGCCTTCCACCTTCTTGGAAGCTACGAGTCTATAAAACAGTTCTTCAATCTATTTTGCTTTATGCAATGGAGAATGCTACGCTGTCTCCCTCTCAGCTGATCCACCTAGACTCCATTCACTACAAGACCCTACGTCGAATGTTTACAATTAAATCATCTTTCTACCATCGAGTGTTGGAGCCGTCGGAAGCGCAGTGCTCCAACGAATATCTGCATGATCTTGTCGAAGACCCGTCCTCCCTCTCGAATACATTCCCAAAACCGACTAAAGCTACTTGGCCATCTTCTTAGGCATCCCAGCTTCCCTGGAGGCACAGTCTACGTTTTCTCACTCACATTCATATAGGCGCACATTTGGAGGGAGTAGGCCCGGACGTCCCAGAACACATTCGGCAGCGTCCTGCTTTACTGAAGCAAAGCTCCGCTCAGAATACCTGCAATCTGACACTCCCCCTTCCCACCTTGATCTCGGACACTCCTTTTTCGGGGTTCCCACTCAAACTGATGTCATCAGAGCACATGGCTTCCGCACAAAGATGACCGGCCCATCTTTCCTGGAGCCCGCAAACCATCGCTACACGATGACAATGTCCCACGGCCTGCCGTGGACGGCAGCCATGGGTGTGGGCGAGTATGGGGAGATAACCCCGGGAGACTTCACGGAGGGCGACTTCCCGTCGTACGGGTTCAGCGGCCGAGGGGTCTGCAACGACTCCGGCTTTGAAGGCATCAAAGCCTCGATCTCCAAGGTGGCTGCAAGAGCGAAAGGAAGGGACGTCATCTTCTCGATGGAAGGGCTCCTGCAGGAGAATACGCCCCAGGTGGAGGGGGGCATGCCGGCACTGAATGCTGCCTGCCGTGATGCAGGCAGCGCGCGGTCAGGGGACCACTTGCTTTTGAGTCCCACCTGTGCAGTTTTGAGGGCCGTATCTGTAGCCTGGCCAATTTGAGCCAAGAGCTGAGACACTGAGCCTTGATATGAGCTCGTCGGGAGCGATAAAAGAGTGTCCCGTACCGACAAGGTGAGTGAACTCATGTCCGCAACAGGGATTTTGTTTCCTTTCACATGTCTTTTGATGCGAGTATCGGGGCAAGCCCCAGATGGCTGGTCACCTACGAGCACCGGAGGTGCCTTCTGACAGCGAGTCGGAAGGCCAAGTAGCGAACCAGCATCGTGTTGCTCAGGTCCTGATTTCCGCAGGACCACCGAATGTGCAACTTCCCTGGGAACAAGGAATTTTCAGGGATATCTTCGCACCTGGACCAGTGGTGTCACTGGACTGGCCAGAGCCCAAGGTTCTTGTCAATGTGGATGAAGCCGAACTATCGTCTACACCAGGTCCCAGCGTTTTGCAAGACAAAGACAAGACGCCAATCGCAGGTGTCTTGAGCTCCTCACCGGGGGCTAATGTTTTCAGCAAAGTGATCAAGTGCAAAAAGAAAGATGAACCGTTCAAGGAGGCTGTTGCAGGCATGTGGTTGAAGAACATGCAGATGTGGAAACAGCTGTTCGAAGCCTCCCCGTCCACCAGTTTTGCCAAAACATTGCAAGAATTGGACGAAGAGGAATCCAGAAGCGTGCATCGACCTTGTTGAGGCTGTTTCGTTGGCTTCAAAAACAGGCAGATGTGCAAGGGACCTCTGTGGAGGAACCCCTTCTCCCATCAGAGGAAGCGGTTTACAAGTTCTGCAGACAGGAAAAAGGGCAAGCTGGCACCTCAGAGCGTGGTACAGGCATTGAAGTTTGTGAAATTTGTGCTTTCCATTCCAGATGTGGAGAATTCCATCTCCCCCAGGGTCCGAGGCTTGGCAGACCGAGTGGCAGGCGAGCACGAGCCCACACATCAAGCCCGGGACCTAACAGTGCTTGAGGTTAGATTTCTGGAAGAGTGTGTTGGGAACACCGAGCTCCACGTTGTTGATCGATTTGCAGCAGGAGTGTTCCTGTTTCAGATCTTCAGCAGGAACCGTTGGTCAGACATCAGGCACGTGCGATCCTTGGAGTTCGATTTTCTGGAAATTGGACCCGAGATTTGTGGTTTTCTGGAAGGCAGAGCTAGGGAGGTGAAACAGTCCAACAAGAAGAAGAAACTCTCATTGTTCATGCCCCTCGTGGCTCCAGTTCGGGGGGTCCACCCGAAGGTGGTGTGGGCCAAAGAATGGCAGGAGGTGGCTGCCGAAGCAGGGATCGTGCTCTCGAGGCCCCCTATAGGCCCTTTACTACCGGCCACCGCCCCAGATGGCGCCTGGCTGCAGAGGTCCATCGACTCCGCTGAGGCCTCCAACTGGCTGACGGGACGGTTCATGTGTTTACTCATGTCTGTTTGCTGTTGTGAAAGATCACCGTACCTTGTTGCTTTGGTTCAAGCCACACACACCGAATTCTTGCAGTTTGCATTGCATCGCTTAGTAGCTTCGCTTTTGTTGTTGCATCACATCGCTTGGTAGCTTTGCATTGCATTACTGACAAGCTTTGTCTAGAGAACTTGTAGCTACAGTTTTGGCACTAGGCCTCGTGCACGGCAGCTGCGATCAGCTGCCAGATGGAACAGGCCCTTGATGTGGCCTCGCCTGGCAACGCTTCTTCCAGCGATACCAGCACCAGCAGCTTGAGTTTCTTGCAAAGAGAGCACCTCGCACACGGACGTACATTGGCTTTGCTTTTGCGCTGGTGTTCAATGCTTTCAGTGCGTGTGGAGCGCCTTGAGGCCCAAGCGACCCTGTCTCGTGCCTTTCATGCTTGGAAGATGGTTAGGCCGTGATGGCCCCCTTTTGCCTTTTCCACGCCTTTATGTGCACATGTTCTTCCGCAGGGTGCTCGGAAGCTCCTGCCTCTGGGCGTCCGCTCAGTGTCCGTGCACCTTCATGCCAGGCTTTTGTTCCTCTGGAGTGTATCCTGTGGACATCTTGCACGGGACTTCCGTCGGCTTTTTATCCCATGGCGGCTTGCTTTGCAATTTTTCAGTCAAATCATGCGCCGTGCAAAAGCCCGTTGGTTAACCAGCTGCGGTCATAGTGAGCACATGATACATTCACTTGCGATTTCTTGTTTATTGTTGCATTGCTTCCTGCAACTCAAGCTCAGTGGTGTCTGCTGTTGCACTTTTCTGACCTTTCTTGGGCATGGCCGACTTTCCCCATTAGGACACTGTCCGGGCTTCGCAGGCCATGCTCGGCTAGGCTGCCATTTTCCCTGCACTTCCGCCAGCAGCTTTACTTGGTCTGTGCATTTCCTTTGGTACGCAACTGCAGGTGTTGAGCACCTTGTTTTTCCCATCCGCTCCGCCGACATTCTGATCTTACTGGCATGGCAGGGGACTCGGGTTATTAGTCCTTGCTTCTTGCTTCGTCAGTCCTTCCCCTTTGGAGCACCAGCGCGCGTCATTCTGTGTGTGGACCGCAGCTTCCTCTCAAGAGGTCGCCTACCTGGCTCTTGCATCCTAGCACTCCTTTTGTAGCCTCCCTTTCTCTTTTCGGTCTCCCGCCTGGTGATGCCAGGGCACAAACGACCAGCCGCGAAACCCCTTGCTTCGATTTTGAGGCGGGGCCGCTTTGCTGGATTGCCTACGCCAAAACCCCGCGCGCGGGATGCGAGCTCGGAAACGGAGGAAGTCCCGTCCCCGCCGGGCGGTCCTCCCCCCCCTACAGGGGATAGCGCGCTGGTCAGATCCAAGGCGGGTTCTGTGTCATCCACGCCCTCGTCCAGAACTGCTTTGGCTTTGCGCCGTGGAATGGAGAGCCGTCGAGCCAGGTCCGCAGATGGTGAGCCGTCCTCGGGTACCACGCCTCGTCCCTCTTCCAGCTGTGGCGGGGCCTCGGATATTCCTTCTAGCCCATCTGGTCTCTCCACTGCGCTGACGCATCCCACAGCGGCCACGCCGGGATCTTCCTTTGGCTTGGCTGCCCTTGCACTTGGAGCTCCTGGGTCTGCAGGACCCTCGGGCCCTCCGCCCCCAAGACCGGCTGCTGTTACTTTGCCCTTCATATACGTTGATGGCTTTGCCGCTGTGCAGTTGCCTTTTGGGGTCTATGCGGTTCCTCACCCTTCTACTCCGACCCTTCCATCGGCGACGGCTTCTTTCATTGGTCTTGCTCCACCTCCAGCAGTGCCGAAGAGTACGGGGGCTCCACCTACTACAGCTTCTCCTGGGTCTCCGACCACACCTGCTGTACTGGAGGACGAAGCCGCCGATGATCAGCCCAGCTAATTTCTCGGTCGTCAGGTATGTCCTGGCTTTTATCCCGAGACGCACCATTGGCACTTTTCCTCTGGCTTGAGAGGTCCCGCAGCCAACCTCCAGGCTTCTTGGCATACGAACTTGTGTCGGGGAGTCGTTTCACCCTCAGCTCAGCCTGTCGCTTTTGGCTGATCTTTTGCCTGCGCTCGACCCTGCCTGTCGTGCAAAAGTCACTTTGTTCTGTGGGAAGGGGCCAGTGCCATGCCCTCCCTTTCCCTCTCCATTTTTTTTTTGACATTGTCCATTGAGCTCAGGTGCCGTTCTCGCTCTCATTTCGACTTCTTCGAGCTGTGTGCGCACGCACCACGACAGGCTTCGCTCTTTTCTGCTCTTCTAGAGTGCTTTGCAGGATCGGGGCTTCCAATTTTGGTATGTCTTTTCTTCGCAGTTCAATAACTTGCCTCTCAGAGCCGGCATCGTTAGCTTTCGCTCAGGCCCCGAGGGGGTTCTGGAAGATGATCTCTATTCTGCTTTGCACTCAGAGCGTCTGCCTGCTGAGCATACTTTCAGAGCGTCTTAGGCTTGGAGACCTCTTTGCCTCCTGATGCCTATTGCCCTTGTGCATGTATCACGAGTTCATTTCTTTGCTTTGTCGCCTTTTCCAAGTTTTGGAACCATCAGGTCCCTTCCGTGCTTCTTCGTGGCTGTAGGCCTTTGGCGTTCTGACTCTTGTCAGTTCCCAGTTTTGTAACTTAGAGCAGGCCACGCCTATCCGCTGTTCAGGCTCCGGAGGCCCTGGGAGGCCGACTCCGTCTTGCTTTGAGCTCAGCTTGTTGCTTTCATGTCACACCTCGGTGCCTTGCCTGCCTTCCCGACCTAAAAAGGGGGGGGAGGCCTTTTGACTTTTGTGTGTTTCTTTCGGGTGTCGCACACCATCACCTGCGCTACTCAGGCAGAACTTGACACCCAAGGTCTCGCGAACGTTAAAGACTTCAGGGCGAGACGTCTCTACAGTTTCGGTTTTTAACCTTCTTGGCTTCGGCAACCCCCAGCAGACGTTTTTGGTTGACAATTCAGGTCTGGCCTGCGGGTTTTTGGCCTGTTCGCCTGAGGGATCCTTCCAGACCGCCTATATTACGCCCAGCGCTCAGCTTTGTGGATACCATACAACCCTTCAGAAGCCCTGCTGTGGCCCTGGAGCGCAATCACATTCCTGTATGGCATTTTGCGACTTTCACTCCAGCCCATGGAACTTCGCATTGCTTCAGCCACAAGGAGGCTTTCTTTTGAGAGGCTTCTATCACATTAATCGGCATTCTTTATTCGGTCATGTCTCCCGTATGCAAGCCCATAGCTTTAACCATTCCCGCGTCCGTTCCCATTTAGTCGCCGGCGGGATGCAAAAAGGGGGACATAGTTTCCAAACCTTATAACCCTTAAGCCCTAATCCCTCATAGGACTGCTTGTTAACCAGTGCAAGGGGGAACATCTCCAGGCTTTCTGGGAAATTTTCCTCTTGCCCTTGATGTCGGGTCAGGCCTGGTTTGACAGTGGCCGCCCCTTTTTGAACTCGAACCTTTGCTCTGCTGCGAGCCTCAGAAAGGGGGTCGCGCTTTCGGGCAGACTTGCATCGCTTTGCTTTGGCTTTCTTTACGTTGCACTCATGTCGGTGCTTGCATCGGAGCTTCAGTGCTTACTCGCTTCGGCCCGGCTCTTCGCCCTTACCCTACGGGGGGGTAGATTGGGATTGCAGCGCCTTTCCCTGGGCCTCGCACTCAGACATTCTGAACTGCCATTGAGCGTCGTTCTGTGAGCTTCGTGTGTAATAACTACACAGCAAATCAGTGCTTCTTTTTTGCATCCAGAGCTTCTTCATTCTCATTTGCCGCTTTGCTTCAGAGCTTTGATCCTCGTTTTAGCTTTCCAACTTTGACACGAAAGTTGTCTCTTGCCTTGGTGGCCCTGCCCACCTTTGCTTTTTGCTGGCAATGGCAAATGTTGACATTTTCCTGGGCCTTGCGGATACGGAGGTAAACAAGGCAGTGTCGTGGCTGGAAGACGCGCGCCACATGCCGGCGACTAGTGGCTTTTCACCTGCGCAATGGCTGTGGCACTGGCTTTCGTCTTCTCCAGCGTTCGCACCTTTAACAGAGGCTGCCGAAAAAATGGATACTGTCTTTGGCTTTGGCTCTGATGATTGGGCTTTCCATTGGGTTGAGGAGATGGAGAAGGCCGCTTCGAACCCGAGTACATCAGCTTCTCAGACTACGCCGGCGCATGCTGCTTTCGATAGCCAATGGCCGCATTTTCCTAATGGCCACCGTTCCCTTGGACTGGCCCCCGCTGACCTTCTTCGTGCACATGTATGGTTGGACGAGGCCGCTTCCTTCGATGGCACCAGTGGTTGGAAGGAGGACGACTGGCTTCGCTTTTGGATGGAGCAGGACTCGGCCTTTGATACTTTGATTCAGCGCGCCAGGGAAGCGGGCCATGGATGGAACATCGGCCAATGGCTTTGGCTTTGGGTATCACAGTCCGACCGTCCCCAGCCACCACCGGCGCCTCCTTTAAACACTGTCCCTCCTTTTTCCACGGGCCGGACGCCTTCCCACTCAGCCAGCACAACGAAACGGTGATTGTCCAGCAAATTCACTGCCGCTCTACATGTCAAGACTGCGGAGCTGGCCATTGCGGGGTAGTTCTTACGCGCGAAGATTTGCCTCATCGTCACCGCTGTAGCATCTGCTACAAAGCTTTTAGGAGAGCACAAGGGCAGCCCTAGAAAGCCCTCACTTCAGCACCTTGTCTTTCTTTTGGTGCCCTTTGCCTTGGCTTTGCTCGTTTTGGCGGGGCGCAGTACATAGACCGTTGTTGGCCTTTGTCTCGCCGCATTTTCCCCCTGGCGCTTTAGGCTGCTGGAGGGCGATTGGCTTCAGAACGCGCCGATGCAAATCCGAGTGGGCCTGCGGTTTTGGGGTTTCTTTCACTCCAGATTCTTGTGCTTTCCTTCATGCATGCTTTCGCGCCCAGGTCTGTTTATGGAACCTGCTCACATGTTTCCAGGCGCGGCTTTCAGGGTGTCCAATCGTTCCCTCGGCCCAGCTTCCTTTTGCGCGCCGATTACTGTATCCCTCTGTGCTGGTTCGGCTTACCTCGCTTTGGCCCGCACAACAGTTCCTGATAGCAGCCTGGGCTGCGCCTTCCAGGTCCGTTTTCCCTGGGCGGTGTACGGTGACTTCAGGTCACCCTGATTTCGCTTTGAGCTTGCTTTTGAGACAAAATAATAACAGATGGCATTCGGGGCAACTACTTTCTTTCCCTATGGGGCTTCCCTGTGCGACGTTGCATGACGATTTTCATGCTCTAACGGGTCCCTTTCCCGAAGCCGCCCTCCCACATCGCCCGGCCCTCTTTTCCTTTTTCTCGGGAGGTTTCGGCCTCGACCTGCTGATTTTCTGGTCCCAGCCCGTTGGGGTCAGCAGCTCAGAGGCTTTTCAGCATGCTCCCCTGTTCCGCGCATCTTGAACCCTAGGCATCTCCCTTACGTTACCGGTGCAGGAGTGTTAAACCTGTCAGTGGGTCTCATGCTGGCTTCATGTCATCCAAGCTACACACCAGCCGGTTAGGACTTCTTGACTCCTGGTCTGCCTCAGGTGTGTACGGACCACCTAGACTTTGCCTTTTCCTGCCCTGGGGGTTGCTTCGACCCCGCGAGTCCTTGCCTCATCGCAGTCTGACCTTCTTTTCTTCACTGTGCTTGCGGGGATTTTGTCTCTTTGAGACCGCAACTGCACTCCAACTCCTCGGCAAAGCGTCGGCCATTGAGCGTCAGATTCGCGTCGTCTTGCATGCCTTACGTGGTTCATAAGGCTCGTTACACTTGAGGCGAGGCTATCAGCCATGCAAAGTATGTGGGGGGTGATTCAGTTTTCTTTCCACTTGGAAATGTTCATGATGCTGCGCAGTGGTCGCATGTATATAGCTTTATGTACATAGCTTGTGATGCTCATGAAACTTCACTTGCCAGTCCATGTGGAACTTGAAATCCAGTAATCTCTCTACAGCTTTCTCACACCAATTTGGTGTCAATCTCGTTGTGACAACCAGACATCGACTATGATGGGTGTGGAGCACCCTGAACCCGCAGAGGGCAATCGTGCCCTGATGGTAACTAGGCCATCTGAATCTTGGACGAGATCTTGAAAAGACCTTGTGTGCTTGCGCTTGGGCCATACAAGCATCTACATCTCTGTCCTTACCAGCCGGTGGGAAGAGATTCTGCATAGGCCGTAGCTGTACAGTGCTGCGTAGTTGTAGCTAAGCCAAAGACCGTTGAGGCAGAGCTTAGAAGACGCCAACACTTTTGGAGTGCAATCCTGAACTAAGTATGTTGTTGTTTCCTGTGGGGCATCGGCAAATGTGAAGTAGACGAAGCAAGCATTCCGCCAGCTCAATGCAGCATCGAGGCGGGGTGTTGAACATTTTGCCGTATCGAAAGTCCCCATTTTATGATGTGATTTGGTTTGCAGTATTTCATGCACTCACATGTTTCACTTTGAGATTGAGTTGCATCTGAAGGCGTCTTTGAGAGTTCAAAACATTTTCAACGACGAATTGCAGTTTGAACATGGTAGGAGCGTTTCCAAGTCCGGCACGACGCTTCGCGCAGGCGCAATTTCATCTACGATCACATCTGCCATGACTTCTTCTGAACGAGGACATTTTGTGTTCGGAGTATGCAATTTTCATGTGTCTCCCGTTGTTGTGGGTCCGGGTAGTTGTTTTGTCAATGTGTTAAATACCGTCGTTGTATTGACAAGTTCGCTACTTGCCCTTGGCTCCAGAAAGTGTGCAAGTCATGTTGGGTTTTGATCAACAGATCAACCCACAGCATTGGTTGTCATGCAGAAGTCTTGCACCCATTCTCGGTAAAGAATGCACCATTCAATGAGCAGCCTCAGTAAAATCATGTGTGAAGTGTGTTTCGCATTGGATGAATCTTAGTGTCATGTCCACTGGCACATGCGCTCCTGCTGACGCATGTGGTGTGCGATTTCAGCGTTGGCCTCGGCACATTTCGTTCAGCGTGAGTCAGCATGAGGTCCAAGTGCCAACTCAGCAGCCGAAAAACCTTAGGTGGGACGATCGGAGATATGAAGGCAAGGAGAGGGTTGCTTCGATTTGCTTCGGTTTGCTTCGATTTGCTGTTGTGTGCAAATTCGGATTCGTCTATGTACCATCATGCCGGCATAGTGCGCGTTGGCTGATGCGATGTAGCCTCGCACAACAAGGCAACACAGTTTATGGCAGCTTCATGAAACTAAGCGGGGCTCATGTCTTTTCCGGATTCTGCTACCAAATTATCAAGGTAGAGTCCCGTCATTGGTCTTTGATGTGTTGCTCCAGAATAGCATGTTCTGCAAGCCATGCCCATCCCTGTTACAGAGTCTGAAGGGAAGCCGCGTTGGCCAGACATCAGCTTGGTGGTGCCAGACGCGTATGATATTCGTGAGCAGCACGTAAAAGGTTTAGTTTCAAACTTGTGGCACTCCCGGGAAGATGGTGACTTCGTATTCACCGTGGCAGGAGGGACACTCCGTGCCCACAGTTGCATATTGTCTGCTGCGTCGCCAGTATTCAAAGCCATGCTGGCAAGCGGAATGGCTGAAGGGCTATCTTCATCTGCATTGCTTGACGCGGAGCCTGCGGAGCTGATGGCTATGCTTCGTTTCATTTACACGGGTGAGCTAGATGCAACACCGCATCAGCTTCCCGGAGTTTTGGCCCTGGCTCATCGCTACGAAGTCTTAAACTTGATTCCGCCGGTGTGCGAGGCAATGATCGACAGCCTGAACATTGAAACGGCCGCTCCCTACATACGTGTGCTGCGATTGCTTGAAGGTTATGCAGGGGGCTTTCAGAGGTCATCAGACAGCAGGAGGTTCAAGACCATTGAAAACTGTGATTCCCCTGGCCATGCGGCGGGGGCAGCAGACATGCAAGCCTGGATGGCGCTTCCAGCGACCGGAAGCTTGCCAAGCATTCCACCAGCTGTCCGTGTAACTGGCCCCGGGTTGTCCCAGCCAAGCCCAGCAGATGAGGCGGGAAACATTCGGGACCCTCTTGCAAATGGCCTTGCGAGTTCTTGCGATCACTGAAGTTGTTGAGGTTTCGGCAGGCAAAGACGGTGCTGCAAGCACCGGCGGCCCATCATCACCATCAGGCGGAGATTGTTCAGTATTTTATCGTGTTGCCTTATTGCGTAGTTGTTGCAGACCGCATGATCGTTTTTCAGTGAAAGGTGATGAATGCAGAGCCGAAGCCACATCACCGACCCTTTGATGATGTTGCACTACTGGCTTTTATGATCTGCTAGTCATCACTCACCTGTCTGTTGCAAGTGTTTTGCCAGTCTAGTGGCACCGCGAGCGCACGAGGATCTCACAAGCTTTCCTGGCTGTTGCACAGCGGAGGCTTGACAAAAGATGGTTTTTTTTGTGCATGAAGCAGCAGTTGAGATGAGCATGCTTGCGAAGTAAGTGGCGTTGACTGCCAGTGTCCCAAGGATTGCGCAAAGCCCAGAACTGCTCATGGCAACTCTGAGGGCTCTGTGAGCGCAGAAAAATGAATCGCAACAAAGCTTGTCACATTTGCCAGATGTACCGTGGAGTTTAAGTTTTGACGCTTTTGCTTTCGCTGGATGTTCTGACTGAAGGTCAAAGACAACCTGACAGTTATTGGTAGGGGCGAGAGGAAAAGTGCATTCACCGACAGCTCTTGTGTAGGAATATGCCAAAGCATGTATGCGGCAGCCTGGGTTGTTAATGCTTTCTACTTATCTTTACAGGATTGACACATCTTGTTTTACTTGTCACAATGCCCGAAAGCTCTCCCGTTGGGCTTCCGAGCTTGCTCTGCCATATGACTATTGAAGAGTGCGAGAGAGAGAGAGAGAGAGAGAGAGAGAGAGACAGTTTAGGAGGGGGTGAGTATGGGTGGGTGGAGGCCGCCTTTCATGCGGCTTTGAGTGAGAGATGGTCCCGATTATCCTGATGATGTCTCAATCTGCCAGTGAAGTGTGTGACTCTGGCGTTTTGTTGACGGGACAAAGGGCACGTGGCTGGATGTGCTTTTTTTGCAGATTGCTGCATACTAGCCTAGATTCCTAAAAAGGGGACCGTTCCATGCTGTCATGACAAAGCCTGAACCCTAAGCCGTAAGGTCCAAAACCGAGGCTGCGCAACGGATTCTTTTCTGAAAATCGTGGGAGGTCCGATGAAAACTATCGTAACGAGGAGAGAGGAGGAGGATGAGGAAAAGGTGGCGGAGGAGCGGCAACCACGTTTAACGTGGCTCTCGAACAGCGCACTGGGAGATCTAGATCCCTTTGGCTCCCAGGGCGGCTTCTTGACCTTAGGCCGACTGATCACTCATGTGCAAGGCTCCAGATCCCACTGCAGAGCAGCTGGTGGACGGTGTTCTGCAAAAAGCTCTTGTCACTTCGCAAGGCAGAAGCTGTGTTGTGTGCCTTGGCAGCCGTTCGTCCTTGTGCCCACAGTGCAACCAGAAGACGCAGGCGCAGCTGTGCATCCCCGAACAAAAGCGTGTGGCGCCAAGCAGTGCCAGTTCTTCGTTTGCATTTGTGTCAGCAAGATCCTAGTGAACCGCTGTCAGCCTCTGCTTCTTTGCCTGAGAGCTTTGCCTGAGAGCGACCTTGGGAAGTCGTGCATTGGTTGCTTGATTCTGCTTTGCAACAGTTAAGGCCTCAGCTGACACCAGATGGGCACAACGTGGAGCGCACGGGGCTCACTGGCAGGCATAGGGCCTCAGGGGCTTAAGGATCAAAACGAAAGCTAGTTAAGGATCAAGGCCGCACAGAATCTTATGTTGTTACGGGAGATTCCATGGGACGAGCTTTCGGTATCAAAAATGAAGCAGGAACTTGGAAACCATTTTAATCTCAAGCAACAGAAAGACAAAAGAAATGTGACAAAGATGTGAAGTTGGTCCGGAACCCAGGGCTACAGCCGGGAGGGGGGAGGCTGGGAGCTGAAGTTTGATCAGATAACGTCAGCTTCTTCCTCGGCTCCAGTTTTAGGACCTCCATACCCGCTAGCCGGCATTCTTGACCGCGGTCTACTACTGACTTTTGCGCTGGCTTGCTACTCCGCCGTGAAGTCAAGCTTTCTGGCTGGTGCAGCAGCATCCATGTGCTTGGATGACAGCACGTTGACATTTCTCAGAGTTGCACGACACTAAAGCTCACCTCTGGCGCGGACGCAGCGCGCGTCCATATGAGCGCGGGTCAAAACTATGGCAATTGCAACTTACCTTCGGAAGACATGTGCATGCTGAAGGTTCAAAAACCCTGTAAAGCGACGGGGCGAACAGTGAGACCTAATAGTACAAACATCAGTCCATCACTGTCACTGGTACATATTGGTATTGACAGCTGGCCCGTACTTAAAGCTACGGGTTGCAGTTGGCCCGCAAACAACCATCAAGCAACCCTGTAAAGCGAAAAGCGACACTCCCCCTATTGCGGCGCGACCTAGGCCCGACAACCACCTAGAGTTTTGACGGTCGCTCATCTCGCTGAAAGCACAAGTGCAGCCAGAGTCCGCACAAAGTGTATCTGTCCGCACCCCGGGACTTGCAAATCGGGCGGCTCGTAGTGTGAAAGCAAACGCCTGCTGCCAACAATACGAAGAATTCGGACAACAGTCGAAAAAACACAAGCCATGAGTCCATATGCACGAGAACACCGTAAGACAACCCATAGGTGTGATGGCATTGACAAGAAGCCATATTGACCTGTGATCTAGGCTTACGCTGAAAACGCCCAAGCCACGCCTGCAACTTCCTGCATACGACAATGGTCAGCTCAGTGGAAGACTTAGGCCCGTTGGCCGCAGCGTGTGTATGGCTAATGTCTACGGATATCGTACCATGGCCAGCCGCCCTCCGCCTTTTATGGATCAGTGGTCTAGCGCCATCCACAGCGACACATGGTCGCAATACAGGAAAACACTGGAATGTTACGAAGAATGATCATCCGGCGCTCATTCGAGTTGCTGGTGTTAACCCGGCGGACGTGAGCCCCAGGGATGCTTGGCTCATCTTCGCTTCGTTCACTCCGCTGAGCGCTAGATTACCTGAATTCTTGCAATCAGGCGTTGTTTTCTCGTGTGGAACTGCATTATGAGAGGCACAAACAGCTACACAGCAACACGAATGCTCCTCCGTCTCGAAATCGGCGACGACCCGTCGATACTTTTCTGATGATCCGCAGCCGCGTACGGCGGCTGACAGGCCCTCAATGATTTGATTCTGCGTGATTTTTGACGCGTTGAACATTCGCGGGCGGAAGCAGATTACGAATGTTTGATTTCCGTTCAGCTTTTCCCATCCCCCAAGATGATGCCCTTTTGTTGATTGTCCATGTCTTGATCCGTCACCATGGCAGATCAGCCCAGTATGTGTGAAGTTGTCAAGACAACATCTCGCATCCAGGCCCTGCGGATGGCCGTGTCGTCGAGCTGGTTTCGAGAGTGTCTCATGCTCATGTCATCCCCTGCAGATGGCTGTGACGGCTTGCAACTCCCAGGCTAGATAGTGCCGCTCAGTTTGTTCGCGGCACGGGTGCGCGCCTCAGATGTTTTGCTTTTTCCACGGTTTGCATCTTGTGGAGTTCAGGTCTCCTTCGAGGTTGTCGCAAAAGCCGAAGCGACCAGGAAACCCATCTGGGATTTGAACTCGGATTCAGCCCACATCCTTTAAATCTTCTACCTCTTGCATGGGCGTCTTGCCGCCCTTTGCAGGAAGAGCAGCAAGACTCACAAGACACGTCTTCAAAGCCCGTCAGATCTGTCAGGCCCAACTTGTTGCGTAGTTGAACACATGTGATGATTGGCGTGGATGTTGCCATGCAGGAGGGGTTCCCAAGATGTCCCTCATGTCCGCCATCGTGATGGAGGCAGCGCTTCCGCATCATCTTGAGAAGCTAAGCCGAGCGAAGATTGGGAGCTAAGTGCTCCTTTTTGCTAGCTGCAGGTTCGCAGCAGCTCTTGGAGCGGTGGCCTTAGTAACCAGAAGAATTTGAAGGGAGTTCGTGTTGAGTGCTCCCGGCTTGTGGAAGTGTGATTTGAGAGCTCGTGCTGTACCAGGCAGACGAAGGTCGACAAGGCATCGGAGCCCGGTTGGGTGTCTTCTGGAAGATATCATCTCTCCAGTTTTCGCCCAGATGTGCGCAGGTGGATGAAGAGTCGCAAGAGTTTTCCGGTGATTGGCTCAGCATGGCTTAGGCTTCTCTCGGGCTTTTCCTTTTGAATGCAGTCTGGTTCTTTGCCGTCTGGCTCTTTCCGCATGCCAACAGAGACCTTTCCATCGCGAGCTCAAACTGAGCTCAAGGTCGAAATGCTTTGGTCTGTGCATGTCTGATCTTCTCGCCGCTGCACAAAGCAGGCACATCTGCACAAGTGGCTGGAGATACTTTCTGGACTGACGAGAAGGTCAGAAGCCCCATGTCATGACCTAACGTGCTGATTGCTGCTGTATGCCGCAAGGGGCCTATTGTCAGTCCTCACGGAGCAGCTGCTCTCCATGGGACGCCATTGCAGTTGCTGTCGCCACAGTCGCCAAGCCCTTAGATGCAGAAATGTGAACCCTGCGTGCCTCCCGTGTGACAATAAGTGACTTGAACCGAGCGCAAGATGCCAGAGTCGTCACCAGCAGAGGAAGCCTTAAGAAGCCTTGAGTCGAGACTCGAGGCCATGGGATCTTTCAGCCAGGGACCCTTCAAGCTGCTTTCAGCAAGGTGCGGTTGTGGCAAGTCCTGGCTGCAAGATGCTACTGAACAGTGTGCACCGTTGCGCTCCAGGCGCCTTCCATTCTGGCCAGGGGGGCTCTGCCTGCTCTGCCTGCTCTGCGCAGGGAGAGTGGGGAGAGCCGGGAGTGCCGGGAGAGCTGGGAGAGCCTGTGGGCAACCAGGAGCCCCTGATCATGGTTCCACATAGTTGCATAGCTTGTGTCAACTTCCGCACGTTTCCTTGCTTGGGTGCATGTATGGGACTGCTGTTTACCGAAGCCGTAACGGCTGGAATAATATCCTCCGAAGAGGAACATTCAAGAGCTTTCATAACCAAACTGCAAGACAGCTCTCACAATCATGTTGGGATTTTGCCTGGTCTTGCCAAACGCTCCAATCACCATATCTGTAACCCATTTTCGCTGTATTGAAGCGGCCAACATTCACTGGAAGCGTTCTGCTCGATGTCTGGCCTGCCGGCCAGGGCTCAGAGAGTGAGCCGAGCTCGATTCAACTTTTCCGGGAAGGCTCCATGTGAGGCATCTGTTAGCCAGCCTTTGGCAAGCCAGCCTTCGACGAGTCAGCCTTTGGCAAGCCAGCCTTTGGCAAGCCAGCCTTTGGCAAGCCAGCCTTTGGCAAGCCAATCTGTGGGAAACCAATCTGTGGGAAGCCAGCCTACAAGAATTCAAGAGACAAGGCCTGCAAGGCCTGCAGACTGTGTTGGAACTGGTGAGTCAGAGCCCGCAACCAAAGTCAGGAAATTATCGGAGCTGAACGGGCAGCCTGTTTCTGTTGCATCAGCAGCTACCCCAGTCCGAAATTCCAAACTTCTGCCCGATGAATCCGACTGGAGCGGCGTCACGGTCGTTTTTACCAGCGACCTGACCAGCATAGATCAGGCAGCAGCTGAGAAGCAAGTCGTGGCGGCTGGTGGCAAAGTCGGCTCCGCCATCTCGCAGCGTACGTCCCTCTTGGTTCTTGGAGGCAGCTTGCCGGATGGAAGGCCTTCAACGGAGTCTGCCAAGTACCAGCGCTTTCTGGAATTGCAGTCCAAGGGCAAAGTGCATGCTAAGGTGCTGTCAGAGCAAGCTTTTCTTACCTTGCTGCCAGCTACGAATGCACGGACCACGAAGCACCTGCCACTGGAGAAGCAGGAAGTTCCTGCCGATAGCCACAAGAAGCAGCAAATCAAGGATGTCAAGTGTTCTCAGACACGCAATTGGGTTGACATCTTCTCCCCGAGAAAGCTGGAAGACCTGCTTGGGAACCAGGGTGCCATCCGGAGACTGGCAGAGTGGCTGCAGGACTGGGACGATGTAGTGCTGCATGGGAAGAGCAAGAAACTTGCCTTCCGACGCGGAAGTGTTCCTGACAATGTGAACGTCACGCGGCCCAGCTGCTCTGTTGGAGTGTTTTTTGCTGTGCAGCTTGCAAGTCGCCCAGCCATTCTCGAGGCCAGAGCTGTACTTGCGGGCGACACAGCTTGTGGGCAAGACATGCAAGACTCATCATGGGACTGTGTTGCTGCTATGCTTGCCGGGTGAGGTCAGCGGGCCACCAGGGATTGGCAAAACAACAACGTGCCGACTTGTAGCACAGCTACAAGGGCGATACCAGGTCTGCATTTGTGGAGCAAGTGGAGGGACTTGATGAGATATCTTGTTGCAGGTGTTGGAGTACAATGCCTCCGATACCAGAGGCCAAAAGGTAATTCAGGCTCGCCCGCATGAAGTTGTGTGTCAGGAGGATCGCGTTGATGAGTAGATCATGTTCTTGTGTTTGACAGCTTTGACATAACTTTCTGAACTTCAGTCGAGGAAATGGCAGAAGGCATCGCCGAGAACACAACCATCTCGTTTGAAGGCTGTGGCTGCATGTCCTGGAATCACAACCATGCTTGACGTGCATCCTGCTTCATCAGGTCGGCAGGGGAAGAGGCATCCAGAGAGTGGCCACACTTGGTTTCAAAAGCCAACTGTTTTTTGTTCTTTTGTTTGACGCAGGAAAGTTGTGATCATCATGGACGAAGTTGATGGAATGGGCTCTGCACTCGGTCTCAAGCGTGCCGTCCTATGCAAATACCGTAAAACAAAAAGAGCTTTTGGTGCTGAGGTGGTGGCGATAAAGGTGGCATCGCTGCTCTCATCAAGATGATCAAGAGGCGGAAGCAAGTTCGACTAAGTTCGAGCATGTTATTTGACTCACCTTTGCTTGCTTCTTGTGGCACTCACCATGCCACAATGTGCTGCAAACGGCTACACCTTCCAGGACTCGCAATCCAATCATCTGCATCTGCAACGACCAGAACAGCCAACAGGCATCGGGCTGTGCATCCTGACCTGTTGGCGCATACTTGGCACAGAGTTGGCACGGATGCAGAGCAGAGCGGAGGTGAGATCTTTGGCCTCCAACTGCTACGACCTGAAGTTTACCAGGAGCCTTCGGAGCCGGACCGAAGCGGACCGAAACCTTCTCTCGGATTCTTCTTTCGCTTGTGGGGAGGCCTCCCAAGAATGCGATAGCGCAGCGATGTGCTCAGATAGCAAGGCGGACATGGCAGTTCCCGTTGCTGAGATTGCCCCGTGCCATGCGGGATAGCTTGTGCAGGCAGCAGGGCCTTCAAGTGGATGCTGCTGCTCTGGAGGCGCGTCGTCGAAAGCCAAGCCAGATTCTACCATCGTCCCCTCCCCGACCTCGTCCTCCTCCTCCTGCTCATCCTCCCGCCTTGCGAAGGCCATTGTTGAATCGTGCGGCAGTGATGTGCGCGTAGCACCTGGCTCAAAGTACAACAACTTTGCAACAGCATGAGTCATGCTCCAACAATGTCACTAGTTTTTGCCAAGGTCCTCAACCACTTGCAGATGCAGGCTGTCTCAAAAGCGAGGCTTGTTTGGGTGCCCTGCACAGCCGCACATTATTTCTTCATCTTGCCACCAGCCCTTGGGTTCCATGATTGGAAGAGCTTGTCCATGGCCTTGCAATTCAAAAACAGCAGCTAATGTGTGCAGTTGCTCCTTGACGAAGAGCCTTGGTGAATCGGGCAGCCCAGATCGCATGGCAGGGAAAAGTTGCAAGATGTGCCACACTGTGACACCAAGCGTGTGCCAACATCTGCACAGCAAGTAAGGCAAGGATCAAGCGGTCATGCTCAGCCCGTTCGATGCGTGCCTTGGTATGCTTCGGAATGTTCAGAGTCTTGCGGGGTCGCGACGGTCGCGTTACTGTACTCATCGTATGATTCGTACGATGTCGTGTCCATCGTGTCCCCATTAAACCTCGGAGTATTCCCGGGCAGCTGCACAATTTTAGGTGTCGGAAGTTGCTGACCACATCAGAGGCCTGAGCATGAGTTGTCTTCCTTTGGTAGCATGCGCGAGCAGGCACCTTGCTTGTTTGAGGCGAATGCCCATGCCTTTGAAGCACGTTTCGAGATGCTCGGATCCTGGTCTAGCATTGGCAATTCTGCCAGAGTGCTAGAGATTTCCGCTGTTCAGCGGCTGCCCTTTTTCTGAGGTTCTTTGTGGACCACTCGCTTGTCAGCATGTCTGTTGCCAAGATATCCACTTTATGAAAGGGCGAGCTGAAGCTGCGTTGACCCTTGGCTATGTCGAAGATGTCGGAAGGCTGATCCAGGAGAACTACTTGCGGTCTATGGAGAAACAGCCTGTTGGCCCCCCAGAGGGTTTTTTCAGAATCCCTGGGCTCCGGAGAGTCTGCCTTGAAGCGTTGTGGAGGTCAACTCTGAAGTGCTCAGTCGGTGCGCGTATTCTGCGGACCTCATGACGATCGGCCTGAAACCCGGCGTGGGTTTGTGAAGCTTGGCCCGCTGCAAAGACTGCAGACTCAGCTTGTCTGAAGGTGACATCATGAATCAGCGTATGGTGGTCGAGCAGGAGTGGAGATGGCATGGCGCTTCTTGTATTTGTTGCAAGAGGAGTCTCCTTCATTTCAGGAATGGAGTCTGCTACCGCACTGTGCAGCTGCGACCCAAGACTTTCACGTCGGTACTTGACATCAGGCAACTGAGGTCGCTGTGTCGCTGTCGTAGTGCTGTCGTAGTGCTGTAGTAGTGCTGTAGTGGTGCTGTAGTAGTACTGTAGTAGTACGAACTAATCGCGAGAATGTGTCTACGGCTATGGGGAGGCATGCGGCCCATGTTCAGATTGTCCAGGCCGTTTCCTGCGCATATCCCAGCTATGTCACCCGGGGCAGCCTCGCAGCGGCCTCACCATGCAAGGGGGACTCTTCAGGGAACAACGAGCAGACCTTTGCTGTAACCTGCCAGGGCTACACTAGCTTCCCTTCCATCCTGGGCAAGATGTCTTCACAGTCCAAGTCCAGGCTTCCTGAGAAAGACCGAACAGTGTGGGAGATACGTAGAGTGTGATGTTGAAGCTTGGCAGGCGGCTGGTCGCTGAGCTGCAGGCAAACCTTGCTGCTTCTCTTTTCGGCAGTGGCTAGTCGACTGGTCTCTGTTCTTAGCACGGCAGTGCCAACAGTTCTGCTCCGATGCTGTGGCTCAAGCGTTCCTACAAACAACATGCCAAGTCCTGGAATGGGATCGCAGGCAGAGGAATTCTTATCCGTCGGTTTGTTCGGCACAGTGATTTTCAGCAAGTTGGGGAAGCGTAGCTTGGAAGCAGGGTGGTGCGCAGTTGAGCTTAAGATGGCAAGATCTCTTGCAGACCTGGAATGCAGCTCAAGACATCGCACAAGCCCCTCCAATGCACTGAATGAACCGAATTGATCGAACTGATCTGGCTTTATGGGGGCTATGGCCAATGCTGAAACTCCAGGTGTACTCTGGGGGACGGAAAGCAGGAAATCTTCTGCGTTCGGTTCCTTGCCTGAAGCGCACGTGAGTTCAGAACCCAGATGTGCAAGGCAAAGTGATGATTGAGGTTGCTGATTGTGGTTTCTTGAAACGGGGGCACATGCTAAAGTTTCCAGGGATGGGATCCTCTGAAATCAACAAGCTCTGGAATGCTGTACCGGAGCAATGGCAGTAACGGTAGAAAGCCATCTTGTTTAATCTCCAATGTACTAGTAGCGCTCTTTGCTCCTCTGTCGCATAATGTCGGAGAATGCCAATGTAAATGTACAGATGCTGCTAGTCCTCCAATACAATGCCGACCTTCTTATCAAGCCGCAAGTCATTCCAGCTTACCGGGAGGGCTTCCAAGGAAAAGTTCAGAATCTTGAAGTCCAAAGTGTGATGCACAAGGTTTGCCCCGGACGACTCGTACTTGGCTGCTTGTGGGCACTTTAGCCGCATTGAGCTAGCTGTCGAGCTGAAGCAGTCAGAGGGCCGTGCTATGCTTCGCATGCTGCGTTGCTGAAGGAATGGGTTTGTCCACGTGTACAACACGAGTACATCCCAGTGACTCAGACGAACGGGTAGACGGGCTGCAGTGCCTCGTGCTGCAGTTTGCATTGATGCCTGCCAGCTCACCATATGCTTGTCTGAGATTGGCGTTTCGGCTTGCCGGCAGCAGATCAGAGGACCCGCCCATGTCACCCTCACAAGGCAGTGAAGATGTTTAGCATGTTGATAGCACCAGTCGAACGTGTCGCAGGATAGTGGCTTGCCGGTGACGCAAGTGAGATGGCGGCCAGAGTGCTTTGGACCTTCAACTGCATCTTAAAGCCTTTTTTTGTTTGTGGCTGTTGAGAAGTCCTAGCTGTGCACTCTAAAGAGTGTCGATGATGAGGCCACACAAAGTCCATCCTCGTTTCCCGGCCGAAGTCCGTGACAGCTGCATACTCTTCAGAGGTGCCACAGTGCATTGAGCATGCTGGCCAGAGGTCTCAGTGGGAGCCGACGGGAAGATTACACACTGGCATGCCTTCTCCGGCAAGCAGATGCATGAGAGCCTTGCATGCCCAAAAGACATTGCAAGCCTGGTCAGTGCCGTACAAATCCTGGCAAGCTTCCAAGAAACCTTCTAAGGCTGATCGAGCCAGAGAATCAACTCTTTTGTGCCTGAGCAGCCTTTACATCTTCGGGCCAGGCTTTTAAAACAGGTGCATGTCTTGGGGTTTCTTGGGGCTCGGTAAGGCGGAGCTCGGCGCAGTTGGCCTTCGTGTCGTTGTGCAAGCCATGGCCCCCCGATCGATGTGCTTCGACCTTTGTGAGCAGATACTCTTGGGCGTAATCTAGAGCCACAAACGCATGGTTTATAGGAACGCCGGTTAGTTAGCAGGAGTCTGCTTGCATGATGCTACTTCTTTCTCTGACCGCAGCTCTGATTCCCGAGAAACCAAAGCATTGCCAGCGGCATGGCTGAAGAAACCATGCGCAATGAAGAAACATTCTCTTCACTGCGACTCCATCTTGAGATCGTACCGGCCTAGCCTTTTTCACCAGTGAATTCCGATTGACCAGGTCTCGATTTTCTGTACGATGGCACGCAGTTTGCCACTGCTGGCAAACAGCGCCACATTCGGATTTACGATGAGCTTCTCGGCTCCGCGAGCACATGCGAGCACATGCGAGCACATGCGAGCACATGCGAGCACATGCGAGCACATGCGAGCACATGCGAGCATGGTGCGGTGCAGCCAGTGGCGACTGTAAGCCGGCGAGGTCCACAAAGAAGCTTGTTCAGCTCATGCGAGGCGCGAGGTTCAAAAATTGCATCATCACGGAGTTGAGGGTTTTCAATCCCTTTCAGGTGGAGACGATGCAAACAGCGTCGGCCCATCAAATCGTGTCTTCTCGCTGAAGTATCACCCGCTAATGCGGCATGCCGCTTGCTTGGCCTGGCAGGTATTTGTGCCGTTTTGGCTGTATCATAATTAGTCGGAGCTGGTGTTGGTTCGGACAACACAGGTGATTGTAAGTGGAGGTTGGGACAGCTCCGTGCAGATTTGGGATACCCGCCAGGGCCGGGCCGTACGAGTGTCTTGGCAGCATCCCCCACTGTTGTCTCCTACATGCAGAGTGAAAAAGCGCAGGCCGCGAACTGACCTAACTGAGGCCATCGCTGGCCCACACATTTGTGGCGATGCTTTGGACATTTGTCAGGACAGCCGGGTCCAGGTTCGATGCACCTAGGTCACAAGTGCTAGGAATCAACTGAGCTTTGCGCAACGTAGGATGGTGCAACTGTTCTCACTGGTTCCTGGCAGCTTGGCCATAAGAACACATCCTCCTGATCTGGGCTGCAAGACTCTGATGGTGCACTGAGGCGCATCCAAGACCAGCTTCAGCTCTGGGACTTCAGGAGCCCTTTTTGGGTGCTCCTTGAGCTCCTTGTGAGCAAAGCACCCGGTTTGTCAGGATGGAGAGGCTCTTGGCCACCTTGCCGCTTTCCCAGAGCACGTCGCAGCCCCATTTTGTCTGGGAGGGCGTAACATGGCTGCGAGCACGGTGTTCACGTCAGTGTGACAAGTCGTCTGACCCGGTTTTACATGGGCTGTGGTGAGCAGTCGGCACAACTCCTGCACACTAAGCAAAAACACCAACAGCAAAACTCAGTCCTAGCAGGCGACCCGGCTGAAAACTCCAGTGGGGGAAGAGTGGGATCCGTCCCAGCGCTCCAAGTTCCCGGTATTAGGAACCGGTCTTAGTGCAAGTAAAAAAGCATGAAATCATTCGAGATCGATGCGAACCTGGTCGTCGATCACACCAAGTGCAACTTCAATGGGAGGTGACAACTCGCTGTTTCAGCACCAATCTCACGGTTTCGCACCTCTCTTGGTATGATGCAGCTCTCATGTTGCTGCCGCCGGCCTTGAGGCAAAGTACCCTGCAACCCTCACACATTCCCTAGCCCGCGGGAATAAAAAGTGTAGTAAAGGACCCTGAAGCTGGGAAGGTCTACACAAGGACAGGCCGCGCATCTGCAGTGCGTCAAAGCAAGAAAGCGCCACCAATACTCAGAAACACAACAAATACGTGATGACCACCAGAAGGAGCAGCAAACTCTGAGGCCGATTTTTTCGTGAGGGATGCACGGTGACGTTTTTCTGAAGACGTTTTTTTGATGCCATCCATGTTGTTCAGTTTGCATTGTTTTTTGGGACTTTTCTTCTATCTTTGTTTCTATTCTGGTTATCGCGCGGACGCACGTCATGATTAGTCAGAATGGGATGTTGTTTGAAGGTTCCGTTCTTGTGTCTCTGGTTGCGTCGAAGCGCGATTGTACAGAGTTGCACTTCCCAACTGTCAGGTGTGGTTGGTACAACTCATGCCTTCTTTTTTGTCTTTCTTTAGAATGCAATCGGCTTCTACTGATCCGGTGGATCTCTAATTGTCAGCATGTCTTCTCTGAGAGTTCTGAGTGCAGCGACAGAACCGCTACAGTATGGTGAATTCACGAGAACCATGAGTGCACGTCGTTCCTTCGCCGAAGTGTGCCGGGAGATTTAAGTGTGTACCGCTGTGCAAAGTGCAAATTCGGTGACCGGAACACACCCCCAACTGAGCACCATAACACATCAGAATGAAGCACTGATGGTGGGGGGCCATGTCTTCAAATTGAGGCCTTGCATGATTTATGCGGCCCAATTCAGCAAGGACTGCTTCCATGCAGACACTTTGATGAAGCCTGACAACTAGCAGATTGCAACATCCTAGCATTGACAAGAACCGCCCATCATCGCCCATCGCTGTCAATTGCCATGTGTGCATCATGAGCAGGATGACACTTCTGGTATGATTGCGGCTGGGGGCAGCGGTGATCATGAGGTCAAGGCAAGACTACTGCCTCTCTCCGAGGCCGCAATGCGGTCATGCACCACGCCGAGTGTGTGCCAGGTCTTTCAGCGTATGGAAAGCGGTGAGGCTTGCGCACAGACAGCTCCTTGAACGAAGTTGATGCTTTGTTCTGCTTTGTCTTCTCCAAGCTTCCCAAAGCGGTCGCAGGAGTGGTTGAGCAGGTCCGTTGCAACCTAGACATTCCGTTTGCTTCCTCGCAACATGTGTGGGACACTGGGCAAGTTTGCCCGGCAGCTGCTAGCGCTGGGGAGCCGTGGGGCCTTGTAGGTGCCTTGTATGAGCGGGGGGAGGACCACACGTGGGCTCAGCAGAGGCCGCCTAGACGCCTCTTTGTGTAGAGAATTTGAACGGCCGGGGCGCTGAAAAGTCGGCGATTCGGCCTGTGTGCCTTCGCCGCACCGGCTGCGACTTTGCCGTAAATAAGCCAGCACGACGATGCTTGGTCCGCTTCAAGGGCTCATTGCTCCATCCCTTAGGTTCTCTTGGCTACGGAGGTAGAGCCCACGGATGGGCCAGATATCTTGTATTGTGACACGTAACATCGGAAGTGCTGCACCTAAGGAACCTTTCGGCAAGATCTCCGGATTTGCGCAGGCATGCTATTGTGTGGACTTTGCAAATGCCTGCGGCTCAAAAATGTGGCATTGAGGAATAAGATATGTCGAAGTGAACATGCCAGATGAAACGGCGTGTTGCTTGCGGTATTTGTATTTCTTGCCGCCAAGGCTGGTGACATGTTGGCTGCTGCTGGAGGTGATGGCATCATTCAAATCATGAACATCCATAGGCAACACGCGCATGTCTAGCTCGGAAGCGCCCAAGAGTGTCTACACGCTGCAAAGCCTGCAGTGTGTGGATTGGGACTTGTGCTGAGTGGTCAGGACTGCAGAAAAGTGCGGAGTGAAAGTGCACCAGCAGGGGTGCAGAGTGTCAGATGAATGGTGGAAGTTTGTGCCAGACACATGTGCGACTGGCGGGCACTGTGGATCGCAAGGTGCCGCTTTGATAGATTTGTGCGCAACATCACGTGAGGGTAGGGAGAGAATCCATGCTGTTCCAGGCCATGGTAACGTCTTCTTACATGGACCTGATGTACAAGCTTGAGCCTCAGTCTGGAAATTGGTTGTTTTGTCAGAATCGTCCCGTTTTCCCTCCCATGGAAAATTAGTCTGAGCAGGCGCTTGGTTCAACCCTTGCAAAGAGCAGAGATTCAAAGCGTGGCGATGCCCTCAGACAGACTGTGCAAGTGTCAGGCCTTGCAGGCCACAGGTGACAAGTCGACAGCAAGTCGACAGCAAGAGCCGCAGAAAGCACAGGAGGTGTGCGGCGTGCGCATGCTCACGCGCCTGGTTACGCTTTCAGGTGTCACTCCTGGACGCCTATGGCCTGCGAAAAGAGCATGTAGTGGAGCAGCCTTGGCTTGCTTATGATGCCGAAAGGTTGATCGGAACTTGCGCCGTCAAGCGCCACACCTCGGTGCAGTGCTTGATTGCTGCTACGTGGTAACCAGGATTACATGTAGGTTTCTTCAAAAATGCCATGGGTTTCTTCTATCACGTAGTTGCTCGGCGCTGGAGAGATCCTGGAACCCATGGTCTTTGCCAGATGCCAGGCATCTCATAGAGCTGAGGCAGCCTCTGGGCTGCCAGGAGTCCTGAGTTTTGTGATTATTTTGGCCATGTTGCCACATGTTCACCCTGAACGGATGCCGAGCTCTAAGATCTCTGTCCCTTGAGGATCTCTTCAAGCAGGTGGATCCCAAGGCAGAGCATGGACAGCTCTGGAACCCTTTATGGTGCTGGCTGCAAGAATGGGCCGCTGCTTTGGAGGTCAAATATGCCTTGACCCGCGAGCTCAACTCCGGCTCCCACACTGCTAAAGTGTGGCCGACACGTTCGAATCACCACTTCACCTGACCTGTGTGCTTGCATGCCATTGTACGACTGGCTTTCTGGCTCAAGAGCGTGGGGGGGCTGCGCTCCACCCAGCTGCCCTTGTGCCATGCGCTTGGAGTGGAAAACACATGAAAACACGATCAAGCTTGGGAGTGTTGTTTTTGTTTCTCAGCCTTTCAGCCTCGACTCTGAGGTGCCAAGGACAGAAAATGCCGCCGAAGGACAGGGCTGTGGTGAAGGCAGCATATAAATGGAGAATCCTCGTTGGGGCTTTTGTTTGTGCACTCATTATGGTTTCTTTGGAGGGCATACCTTAGCTCAGTTCTGTTTCCATCATATTCCAAGCTCGTTCAAGCTGTGAATCTGAAACATCGGCTGTCGCATTCGGCGTCATAAGCGCCCCCCTTTTGCCGAAAAACCGGAAGTGACTAAGCCTTTTGGCAAGTGCAGAGAGTCGAGCAGATCACCTCTTCCAATGCCTCGCATCACGCGAAACTGACCACACCACACGTGCAACTGTGGCAGCGGCGGCGAAGAAGCCCCAAAACAAGCAGTCCACAAGCAATGACTCCGAAACGGTACAACGAGCGCCCGATGCACGGGGCACCAGAAGGACGAGAGGGAGGACTCAGACCTCGAATCGAGACGTCGTTGCCAGTCGTTGCGTGCTTCACACCAAGCCCAGACCTAGGAACGGAATGCTGCGTTATGCTCTGCCGTTTTTTGAACTGCATCTGAGCACTCTTTGGAGGAACGGCGACGGCGAGGTGTGCTAGCAACAATCGCTGTTTCGATCTGAGCACCCTCCTTGTAATTGGAGCTTGCGCTATCAGCACGCTTGCTCAACACTCGTCCTCAGCAAGCTTGCTCACTGCGGTTCTCTTAAGGCGGCCACCCTCACTGTCCTTGCCGGCGTTTTCTGCCTGAAGCCTGGCAGCTTCTGGAGGAGTGTACGCGATTCTCCCGCGCAGACGTTTCAGGCCTGTCTCCGACCGATGTGGACGTTTCCCACTTGGAGTCTTTCGGGGACGCTCTGCATGCCGTGCGGTTGCAGTTCACTTGCATTCGAGCACATCCTGCCTTGCCAGCAAGAAGCTCATGCCTTGGCAACTAGCTTGCAACTAGCATCTACACTGCTTTCACTACCGTCGTTCAACATGAATGCTCGACAATGTGCAGAATCTGAATGCAGGAGCACACCCTGGTGCTGCTGCGGCATGGTGAGTTGATGTCTCAAACTCCAGACTTCCCAGAGACTTGCTACCAGTTTCCTTTCCAAGGTCAGAATGGAACCAACAAAACCGCTTCACAGGCCCACGGGAGTTCTGGGTGTGCTTGTTGCTCGCAATCCTGACCTTGTGGCAGATGGAAGTTTGGCTTTCTGAGTCCATCAAAGTGGTCCATTAGGTCCATCGGTCACTTGTTTCTACACATGTGCGTTATTTAGTATCATATGAGTGATTTGTATTGTAGGATTTTGGTTTGTTTAAGGTTCAAGATTACCTCGGTGTGGGGTTGTCGGGTTTCAGGTCAGCCATGCTCCCTCGCCTCCTCACCTCCCCTCTCGCCTCCTCCCAGGAGTGCCCATTTTTCAGGGAAGCCCACAGAGTGTCCCGCCCATCGAGTAGCGCGGGAGTACCCCCTGAGAAGCCCGCAGAGAGTCTAGAAGTCCCCCCCGATTTTTCCTGGAGAGCCCTTACCCCGCAACCGGCGATATACACGAGTGCCAAACCCCAGAAGCCCGCAGAGAGCCCCGTCAATTTTCACTGGAGTCCGGGAGTGCCCACCCTCAAAGAATTCCGCGGAGAGTCCCACGACAGCAGCCTGCGGCGAAGCATCCGTAATTACTTGTCTGAAAATGGCAGGATTGCTCCTGCATCAGCTAGCTGTGGGTGGGGATGACCGAAGTATACATGTACTGTATTTATTTACCATTTTTCCGTGCATTTTCCGAAAGCATACCATAACCAACATGTTTTTCTCGTGTAACGTTTGCTGTAGCGAGTCTGCCTGTCGGTTTATTGTAACGTGCACATCTCGCTAGTGTTACCTTCGTCAGGTCTTCTCCGCTCCGATTCTGACAGTGGTCTTGAGTGCTCGCATCTCCAAACGGTACATGTTTTAAAGAGGCAACCTAGACACACCTGGGTTGTCTTTATTCATGCTCCGCAATGCTGTCCTCTGGCAGGCTGGGTCGATGTGGATGTGTCGGCCAAGGGTGCCGAAGAAGCCACCAACGCAGGGAAGCTGATGTTTGCCGCCAATGTGAGTCATCGCCTCACGCAAGTGTAGCGCAGCTAGAGGCATTGACAATACCGCCACACCCCAAGGCGTAGATGTCGCCTTCACGTCATACCAAAAGAGAGCCATCAAGACGCTGAACTTGGCGCTGGAGGACTTTCTAGCAAATCTTCTCTGGAATGGCCATCTGTGATGCTCTGTCGTGCTCAAACTGGTCTTTATTGAATGCTTTCCCATGGACCACAGAGGAAATGGACTGCTTATGGATTCCTGTCATCAAAACTTGGAAGCTGAACGAGCGCATGTGCGCCTCTGTGAAATGCTGGTCCTTCCAGAGAGTTAGATCTGGCAGCGGGTAGAATCAGGCACGGACGAAGCATGAGGTATGGCGATCTACAGGGCCTCAACAAGGCCGAAACGGCGAACAAGTTTGGCGAGGAGCAGGCCGCTTTGCGTTGCCATCGCCGCAAGCGACTGGGTGTTGACGGCGTCGACGGCAGACGGCCTGTGGTGGAAGGTGACTCAGTGGCGGCGGTCGTTCTCGGTGCCACCTCCTCCCATCAAGGCTTGGCTGTGCTCCTCCTCAAACTTAAGCGAGACTTCAACCAGAGAGCTTTAGCCCGGAAAGGCATCTGAGAGTGGATGCTTTGTGGAGTGAGTGCGTTTCATTCAGTTTGTCCTTGGATCGGACGGATCAAACAGTTTGTCCTTGAATCGGACAGATCGTAGATCCCGAGGGGTGCACGTTGAGGTCTGAGAGTTTCTTACTCCGGGCACCACGGTGCCCGTAGTCTGGTTGTTCGCTAGAGGAGTAGCTTTAGGTTGATCGGGCCGACCCAGCTCGGCCGACGAGACAGGGGTCCCCCGACTTTGGTGATTGCATCTTGCTCGTGCTGACGTACCATCAAAGTCGGCAATGCAGGATGACAGTCCTTACCATCCGAAGTTGGAGGGGCCCTCAGTGCTTGGCAGAGATTTGCAGGAGGGCTGATGTGAATGTTCACAAAATGCTGATGCTAATTCCGCAGGACCCGAAGTACAAGGATATTCCCAAGAAGAATCTTCCGCTAGCAGAGTGTTCCCGACCTGTTTTATTCTCTGTACGGGTCCGAGGCCAGAGAAACCTTAACCACTCCATTGTCTTAATCACCAAAGTCAACCACCTTTTGGAATCAGAGTCTCCCCACCGAGCTTGTGCAGGTCTTTGGCGCTGACCATCCAGAGAGTCTTGCCCTTTTGGAGGCATGACGAAGGCAGATGCATCTCGTCGCTTGATCGGACGCGAGTGCCGGAGGCAGAGCATTGCGCCACAGCTCCATAAGGGCAAGAAGGCCACGAGCTTGCTAATGCCCTTCACACGCGGCATTGGGTGAGCTGCTTCTGTTTACTCCCCTAGCCCCAATAGGTGCTGATCGCTGCTCATGGCAACTCGCTGCGGGCTCTCGTCAAGTACTTAGACAACATTCCGGAGGATGTTCCGTGGATATCTGTTCCTGGGCTGGTCCTTGTCGTGTATGTGCACACGATGTCACACGCGTCAAGCATCTTTGTGTTCTTCCACGGCAGGACCAGATCGTGGACGTTAACATCCCCACCGGGGTGCCCAACTCGACGATCCAACATGGTCACAGAACAAAGCAAGTGTACGCAGTGCCCGCAGGTGCCATTAGTTTACCGATTAAACCGGCAGTTGAAGCCAGTGTGGTCCTCAGGAGATGCAGCGGGACTGCACGTCACATTGCCAAGTCAAGTCGTCAGAGGTCGAGCTACCTGGGCACGCTGAAGGTTTGAGCCGGGCCCTTGCAACCTTTTTTTTTTTTTTTTTCTCTCTCTCTCTCTCTCTCAGAGGATTGGGGGTTGGTCTCGTTGTTTCTTAGAGGGAAGTGGACTGGGCATGCCAGAGAGGGGGGGGAACACGTTGCATGGCAGAGACCAGCGTCATGCGCGACCCTCGGGCTCATGCAGCAACCAAGTAAAGCGAGAGAGAGAGAGAGAGAGAGGGCGCGCCTAGAGCCCGGGGGGTCACCCCTATGCCCAGCAGAAGAAGAAGAAGAAGAAGAAGAAGAAGAAGAAGAAGAAGAAGAAGAAGAAGAAGAAGAAGAAGAGAGAAAGAGAGAGAGAGAGAGGGAGGGCCGACACACATCGTCAAAGCCAAAAACATCCTCACACAACTCATACCCTTCCTAGTCCAGGAAGAGGCACACCTAGCGGCGCAAGCTGCGAACGCACTCGATGAATGGCTGGCAGAACACTGGGGCGAACCCATCGTGCTCCTCGACACACAACACGGGGAAGGGGGCCCTCCATCCAAGTCGGGTCCTAAAGAAGGGGAAGAGCCAAACACCCCTGACACCATACCCTGGGCACCCCCGACGCCACCTTCACACCCGCAACCGGCCACACACCCATCGACACAGCACCACACACCGCACCACTCAAACCCACACCCAGACGGAGGACAGAGAACCCACGGAGGAATACCCCTCGCCAGGGGAGCCACCGGACCCAGAGGAGACCACACCAAGAAGAAGACGAACAAAAGGAGAGAGCGAACTACATCGACGAGACCACCGACTACCAGCACAAAGACGAAGGCGAACACATGGGAGGTACGAACTACACCGTCGAGATCATAGATTACCAGAAGGGGACGACGACAGCAGACGGAGGAGAACGCATGAGGGGGCCAGCAGTGACTAGGAGAACGATGGGAGCACAGAAAGGGGGGAAGACAAGGTTGGACATACTGTTGGGTTAGGACTGCTTTCAAGTGCGGCCCCGAAGTGTTGGTTGGATAGAAAGGTCTGAACCCCAAACCCATCGAAGAAGCCAGGAGGAACAGAGGGGGGAAGTCGAACAGTAGCAGTTTCTTACTGAACCCCTGACTCCTGTGTTTTTGGCCAACGAGCCGGGCGCCCTCTCAACACGAGATGGACGTTTTTTTATTAACTGACCCGAGACCAGCACGCGCCTCTGGGGGCGGCCTCCCTTCGGGGGGGTCATGCGTGGGGGAGAGAGAGAGAGAGAGAGAGAGAGAGAGAGAGAGAGAGAGAGAGAGAGAGGGAAAGACCTAGCAGCAAAGAACCAGCAGTAGTACCGCTTTGAAACCGTTTCGCGGAAAGGTGATTTGGTTGGGCTCCACTGAAAGCAGCATTCGATAGGCGTGCAGCCTCTGGGCAGTCAGAGAGCATGCAAACGGGGGACTTGGGAGGCGTGGGGCTTGGTCTCTGACCGAGTTCCGAGTGCATCCTGAACCAAAGAACTCAACCCTTCCTCGCACGGTCTTCGGACCTTCCTACCTTCGTAATAAACCCGTTGTGAGCTACTCGCAAGTTTTCACGGTAAGTCTCCCAACATCGTTTTGCGAGGGGCTCCTGCGAATGTAGTATCTGTGACCCCTTGTTGTTGCGTTATTGCCGGGCGATTGGATCCTTAACTTCAAATTCGCCCGTCTTTTCTGACCCTTCTAGCTAAGCTTAGATGCAAAGTCTTTTTCTTACGTTCCCACGCCCAGCATCAGAATCCACTCACCCCCTTGCGAATAGTTCCATCTATATCCAATATCCAATCGGTTCACTGTTTTCTGATCTGTCGTGGGATCTGATTCCGACTCGTTTAGCCACAGCAACTGTGACAACACACGTGCATCGCAAGGTGGTGTCTACTTGGGTGATCCAGAATGGGTCTCGTCCAAGGTCAACGGTGTGAAGAATCAGGCTTGCAACGCATTGGCTGCACGAATGGACCTATGAGAGTCGACATGACATTGCTTCGTGGAAGGCCGCGGGACGCTAGCACGCGGCCCTCAGCAGCTTCATTCCTCACAATCTTGGTGATCTAGAGCTTGTTGCAAGGGTAGCTGGCTTGATCGCCTTCGCCCCTTTCCCTGAAATTTTTGTCTCTGTGTAACTTTATGAGCTGGGGATGCCAGAAGGCCTCAAGGCTCCGTCGAGCGTTTGCACTCGAATCTTCAGGAGCCTGCCCAGCTAGAACAGCTATACAGATCTGGGCTATGGCTTGCTAGGCTTTTCAACTGCTTTCCTTGTGGGAAAGGCGAGCCTTTCAGCAACCAAACTCTTGTGCCAATTTGGCAGAAAATGCAGGTCCCCACGTTGCCGCACGTTGCCATCTTTCAGAGGCGCCGATGTGCATGTTTGGGCGAGTGCCAGGTGCCAACTGCTAAGCGTCACCCACTCGGTCCTCACAGCAACTGTTGCATGCAGTGCTTTTGGCGTGCGGTACAGCAGCATCCGCAGTGCAAGGCCGAAGGAACACTGAGGACGCTGGAGGTCGCGGCTTATAGCAGCTCTGAGTTGACAATGTTCGTTGATGGCCTAGTGCGATACTGTTGAGAATTGTCGGACTATGAAGGTGACGAAATGGAATGCGAGGCGCATTTTGTTCCGCCACAGCAGACGATGCGAGACGTTTCGGAACACTCCGGAAAGGCCGCGGCCGCAAGTGAAGACGAGGATGCAGCAGGTGCCCTGGTGAAAGCCGGGCCCATGGCAAGCTAAAGCGCAAGAGCGGCAAGATGTTTTCAAAGCACTTTTGCTCCACATTCAGGTCAAGCATCATGCGAAGGCCAAGGCAAAAGCAAAGGCAAGAGGGAAGAGTGGAAAGGCACCATTCCTCCTTAAGAAGCGAGCACTGTCAGCATGGACATGGTGAAGACCCGATGTGAAGGCAAAGTCGAAGGGGTCGACGTAGCCAAGACCGCTGCGCTGAAAAAATCAGCAGGCTCGATGGGGTCGAGGGCCTCGAAAGGCCCCCCCTCCTCATGACATCTCATGACTCAGACAGATCCGGACTGCCAGGGCCCCATCAATGCAGGGGAGAGCATTGAAAGTGATGCGCGGAGCATCATGGAGCATGGGCGGGTGCAAGCTTCATGGTCCTATTTTAGAGTTTTATGCTGCTTTTTCTATAAACCGAGACTTGGCAGTCATGAAGCACAGCACTCGTCCCGCTGGGAATCCATCAGCCGAGCTGTCGCTGCAGCAAGAAAGATCAGCCTTGACATGTTGCTCTTTCACAAACTTTTGTTGCAACAAAACCCTCAGCATCATTTTAGTCATAAGTCGCACAAGATGCAGTGACATCTCACGCGGCGACAGCAGGACACCTGTGGTGGTTTGCTGTCGATGAAGTCTCCAAGCTTACAGGTTGCCGGCATAGACATCGAAACCGATTTGTGAAGGGCAAGTGCACATGATGAGGTCTTGAGAATTGTTTGGGCAGGAAGATGAGGAGGCATATGCCAACATTCGTCCGCTGCTCACCTCACAGCCCTTCAGATTTCAGGGACGCTGGTTCTTTTTTGGTTGTTCCGGCGGGAGGGCCATAGCTTTTTACATCCAGACTGCCATATTGTTCACTTTGACCACAAGTTTGTAGGAATTAGCACTCCCGTGCGCCAGGTACATCTCCACCTGTACCATGTTCACCGCACGAGGCTGCAATCTCCAGGCAGTACAAGCAATCGCCATGCCGGTGCTGCGGAGCTTATATGCTGTGGCACTGCCATGTACTTCCGCTGAAACCTGTCAGATCGCAACCTGCTCCAGACAGATTTGGCGATGTCGCCAATGTCTCGATGCCAGAGGGGTGCGCTCTCTAAAGCTACTGGTACGGGTGCACCAGCACTGAGTGCTTCAATGCTTCATTGTTTGCTCAGCTTGCAGTTCTGCGAGTGGGCTCTTGCTGCACTGCCGGTGAACTTCCATGCAGACATATCGTTTTCACCCCTGCAGAGTTCGCATGAAGCTAGGGTTTTCAATTCAGCCAGACGCAAACTCGTGCCAGCAAGCCACCACTCGTTAGCTCCGCCATGGACTTTGCTGGTGCTATATGCAAGGAAGGCCCAATGGACGCTGAGGTTTATGGAGCCATGATGAGTTAGTATGAGCAAAAATCATCTTGCGGTATGCTTGCTTCGCGGTTCTTACAATGCAGCTATCCCATCCTCACCAAGCGCAGCGCTCGCTGAAAAGGTCAGGTTCATGTCCGGCACTGTCCAAAACGAAGTCTCGAGCAACTCGACCACAAGAGACTCAAGCTATTCAAGCTCAGTTCATCTCAGCCGAGGGCAGCAACGTATGGGCGGCAAGAAGACCTGATGTTTGCCAGAGTCACGTTGATTTGGGTGCAGGAAAAGTATGGCAGTGGAGTGAGGCGATGGCTGCACAGCCACGTGCTGTCCTTGGAGTCACAGCACTCTCGCCTCTGCATGGCTGCAAGAGGAGTCAGCCTTTTCGCGCATTCGGTATGCGCGCGCCAGTTCGACAGGTTTCGTTTGGAAGGTCCTACAGCCATTCTGACTTGAAGGAGGGGTCGGAGGCACCGAAGCTCGAATCTCAAGGTTGGGAGCTGCTCGCGCCGATCCTCTGCGAGAGTGCTCAGAATGCCCAGCAAAAAGACCAAAGCTGGACACCAGGGCCAGTGCCTCCAGGGCCACAGCCTCCAGGGCCGCAAGGTCCGGTGCGGCCCGAAAGCCCATCTGTGCCCTTGTATACCAGGATGCTGCCCACAACGCCTACGCCTGTCATCCGATCTTCAGAGCCCTCACCGTTCAGACGAGTGGAGAGTGATGCGATGCCACGTGCGCGAGTGGCAATAGTGGGTGCTGGTCCAGTTGGGCTTTGGGTGGCTGTCCTGCTAGCCCGTGCACATTCGCGGCTCTTTTTCACATCATCTGGCTTCCGCATCAAGCGTCTTCCTGGAGCACCACACATCAACGTGTCATTGCTTCATTTGGGTTGGAATTGCATTAGATGCTGCAATAGTTAGCACCTGGCTTAAGCTGAGGTTTATGAGCGTCGCACTGATGAAAGTGGTTGGGGCTCACGCTGCTCAACTGCCAATTTGGTAATTTGGATGTATTTATTTATACTGAGTGGTTTGACTTGCTTGGCTTGAACTGATATTGCTTGAGAGTAGTTGATATTCATTGTTATCAGTTGATATCATATGCAACAAATTGATACTACTTGCAATTACTTGATATAAACTGATATTACTTGATATTAAACGGTACTAACTGATATTAGTTGATACTTCTTGATCTTTATTGATATTCATGGGTGTTGAGATTAATTGAGTGCCCCGTGTGCCCGGTGTGCCGATGGAGCACGAGGTCGCATTGTCCTGGCGATGTCCAATGCCTCACAGGCCCTCTGCCGACTGCAAGTTCCAGTGCGCTGTGCAAAGTTGTGCATGCGCGTGATCTGGCTGATTCTGTACTGTACCGAAACGGGATCAACGTACCCGGACCAAAACACAGCTGAAAGTCCTGGAGGATGTACTCAACAGTCGCATTATGTCCGAGAAGGAGCTGTGCGCGCATCATTGCCGGGTGCTCAACAGCCAGGCTTGTTGCCATGTGCTTTACCTTTACCGGCCACTGGTCGCTATTGGACCGGAGGCTTCTCTCCCACTTGCTCCATCAACCTTATAGAGTCTATACTGCGTCAGGACGGCTTGGGAACACGTGCAGCTGGTGATGTCAGTCAGTCCACCTATATCCACCTATTCAAGTCCAGTTGTTACTCAAGCATCTCCCAAACTCAGAAGCTCAGTGTCGTGCTTGTGTGTTTGTGCTGCAGCCACTTTGGAGCCAAGCGCTGCTCGTCGTAGCAATGAGTTTGGCGGGTGAGTCATGCTCTCACTTCAGGATGCTTGTCAGATTTCCCGAACGTGCTGCTTGTGAATGAGCCAAATAAAGTGAGTGATCAACGACCATTTATAATTAGCACCCACAAAGACAAGCTGAAAATTCGGGGTTTTTAAAACGAGAAACGGATGCAATAAAACCCCCAATTCAAACACTAATCATACGGTCTTTAAGGTAGCAAAAGGGCCTTTTAATGGGGCAATGTAATTCTTGATTCTCTTTGATTTTCCATTATTTCTTATATTTCTTGGTCGTTTATTTGATTCATTATTTGTATCCCGTGTGTATGGATGCATGACAACCCAGAAAAGGTCCCTTAATCATATGATTATATATCTGGACTGGAAGTGATTGCAAAGAACCTGCGATTGACATCTAGCAAGACCCGCGTTTTCACGGTACATCCTGAAGGAGCATCCGAATACACTTGGTCCTTTGTTCCTCTTTAGAGACGGACTGATATATATATATATATATATATATATATATATACATGTATATGTAGAGATCTGTGCACATGCTAGAATCATCACTGTCCTGCGGACAAGGAAATACGGCTGCGATGCCCAACACTACATTCGTCGAGGCTCTTCATGCTCTCCACGACGACGATTTCCAAGAAGTGAGATTCTTGAAGGGAGCCAAGCTCCTCGGCAAAAGGCTCCTGTGCTTGGTGTCGCGCATGTGTGCTGCCAATCGAGGCTTTGCTGTATCCCACCAACAGTCGGCTGCTAAAAGCCACCTGTGAGATGCCGCTTCGACGTTCAGCTTCCTGCCGAGAATCTTGCCCATGCCTCCCACCTTCTCCTTGTTAGAGAGAGCAGGCTGCAAAGACAATGCAATGCCAATGCGAAGTCAGCAACCGTCAGGTTCCTGATGTCGGTACACCGCGGGGACGGATGGACGATGATCTTGAAAGCACAACTACAGAGTTCTCGCAGGCTGGGTGGCAGGTTGCTGCTCGGGTTTCAGCTTGAAGTAGTGCTTCAAATGTTCAGGTGAGTTCTGACAACGCTCGTGGAGCTGTGAAAAAGAGAGCTCCCTGGCTGGATTCTCTCCTGGAAGCTTTCTGGGGGCCACGGGCTAGGCTAGTCTTCTCAATACACTGGAAAGCATTCGGTCTTGCTTGGCTCCCTCAAGTCAGGTCAAGTTTTTGGAGCAGCCTGACATCACGTACGTGGCAGTGGAATGCGCGACGGACCTGACACTGTTGCCACAAAAGTGTGGACGACGTGCAAGGTCGCAAGAAGATCTTTCCCGCAGACACTTGAAGAACATGCAGCAGAATCATGAACACATCGTGGCAAATGTCATGGAGGCCTCTCAGCAGCTAAAGGATTGCTTCCGAGGCCTTAACAAACTGATGCAGAAGCATACATAGATAAATTTGAGATGTCTTCCCATCTTGTACAGGTAAAGATGAATCTTGTTCTATCCTCGGCGTGAATTCACAGCAGGGATTCGCTTAAGCGGTCCACTGCACGTGCCTTGAGTGTGGTATGTTTCGATATCATGCCAAGCGCGATCTTCCACATGGCCTGAGCAGCCGAGTCGCTTAGCCGGCGGTGGCGTGGGTCGTGTCGCGCCTTGTGCGCCACCAGAATTCATGCGGTGGTCATTTTCCAGCTTGCCACCGGTGTGCAATGTGAAGCCCGAGGATGTGCACGGTGTGATTCCATTGTAAAGATGCTGACTTGTGTTGTTCCGACACACTAGCATCTCAATCTCGGAACTGAGAACAGAGAAGCATTGTGGTCATGGCTGGATTTCTTTCGTTCCCTGAGATCGCCTGACAAAAGTTTTACCATACATCGCAGCACGGGGTGCATCAAGTTCTTCCACGAATTTCTGCACTCCTGGTGACAGTGCTGCCAGGGAGGACTCCGCTCCGAGGGCAGAGCTTCCTCTGACCGCTGACCGACATATCCGAAAAAGTTGCAATCGCCACGAGATTTCAGAAGGAAGCAGGTATCCTTGCCTAGGATGAGAAGTTGCATTTCTTGTTTTTCGCTGCGAGAGGAGTTTGAGAAGTATGCCTCTTCGGGCTTCGGCGCGCTTCATTTGGGGCATGGCGTTGAAGACCCAGAGGCCTTGGATGACCCACCAATTGTTCAGCCCTGCATTGTCTTTTATCTTTTCCAGGTCTTGCTGGCAGATCATGTGCGGCCCTGAGTGATTGTGCCAGGGCAGTTCCCCGAGGTCACACGATGAATGATGTGTTGTTTTGCCCTGCCCATCAGATTTGACGGGCGCAGGATGTCGTGTTTGTGGCTACTGGCCGGAGCTGGCCTGGGGAGGATTGGCGACGAGGCATGTCGGTGCCAATGCGGGTCCCAAAGTGCATGCTGCGTTGAGGACGTTGAGGATGCGTTGGGATATGGAAGTGCCGAGCAGGTCGTGGCTTTGAGCTTGCTGTTGGCCAATCCGATGAGGCGGGCATTGGTTTCTTGGCAAGCACTTGCGAGCACCTGATGCATATCGGAGGCCCTTGCGAATGGAATAATCGGGTATGTGTATCGGAGTATCGCACGCATTCATGCTCTCAAGACCAATGTGGTTGGCCCAGTGGCCACGGTAGTTCGCCATGACCTGCTTCAAGGGTTTTTGCCGGAGTGGGCCATGGCGAATCGATGCACGCTGGGAAAGGATGGAACTCGATCGCGATATGGAGGTGGCTTGAATGCTGAAAATGTCATAAGATGCCCTTTGTCATGGTCAACAAGATCGGTACTCCTATGCAAGGCAAGCATCTCCAATTTGCTGGTGGTGCCCCCCATTTGCACGGCAACTCTCTACTGCAGTGAAGAGACACCGTCCGACTACCTCAGACACCGGGTGCCTCTGGTTCGAGAGAACGAAGTGCTGAAGTGCCAAAGGCATATGTTCACACCTTTTTGTGTTTTGGACTGTCGAGCCGCCAGAAAGGTGGCTGAAATCGTGGCTGCAAACCCCTGGCTTGCGGGACGACTTTGTCAGGAGGGGTCGCAGTTCGCTTGCTGCTCGGCGTATCATTGAAGCACATTGGAGCTGTGCAGAAGTTCGGTGATGTGAGATACATGGGAGGTCCGTTTCTGACATTTCCGCAATGCCCAGCTTCGGAGCACTTCGTGGAGTCTAAGCTGAAATTCAAGAAGTTTAAGCGCACGTCAACAGAAAACCAAACGACCTTGACATCGATGGCGCCTCGCCGGTTCGCAGATTGCTTCACAATAGTAGCCACTGTTTGCTACAAGGAACCCCAAAAGAGGCATTCGCATTTCCCCTGCACAAAGGACCTGCCGGAGCTGAGCGCGGCGCAAAGCGCCCGCGTGGAGGCGGAGATGAGCGGCTCGGAGCTCCTGGAGCTCTCGAAGCACGTGCAGAAGATCCCCGAAGCCACGATTACTTGTGGGCTGTCGGCGATAAATCGCGACGAGGCGCTTTTCAGAGTTGCACTTCTTCCTACCGATCGGCATTTCATTCTTGTCGTATCTTTAAACCACACCATTGGCCGCTTGCTTGCACCTATCGCCGACTCTTGAGAGCCACACCATGTCATGCTCGATTGCCCCGTATTGTGTGAAGCTTTAGGTGACGGGTTCACCTTCTACAGGCTGTACGCCATGCTGGATCCACAGGCACGCACAGCACAGTGTCCCGACATCCGAGCCGAGCTTGAAACTTGTCTGTCAGGTGCAGGTAGTCAGCTTGAGCCCCCTCCGCCGCCCTGGATTCGCGCAAGATGCAATGAAAGTCTGTGGAAAGCGTCAGTTTGTCCGGGTCTCAGGCACCAGGCGTACTTCCGTGCTATTGCCACAGCACACTTGGGTGCTAGCAGAATCGCTCCGTTGATGTACGTCCAAGAACTGGCTGACAAGTTGCCCAACACTTCTTGGCCTGCTCCGCACCTTCTGCTTGTGGTATCCCTCTCGGCCTGAACTGCACCTTGTAAACCAAGCCGGTATATCGAGTCAGAAGAAAAAGTCTCCGACGGTCTCGGCGAACGACATACTGACTTCACATCTCCTGATGCTGTCGCAGTTCGGGTATGGGTACATGTCAATCAACCTGCGTGATCGGGGCCTGGGTGTTACGAACATCAACGCCGGCAACTATGTCCACCGAGTGCATCTCCAGCCGGCCGACTTCTCTGAAGCTGCAAAGGTTCGGCAGGCACTGTCCCGCTATCTGACAGGGGGGGCTGATGACGTGCCCGACTGCTGGGGCTCGATGATGACACGACATGGGCTGGTATCGAATTGGGCAGGCCTATACCACGAGGTCCTGCTGCCACGATCCGTTCAAAGGGTACACATCCCGGTCATTGCACACCCACAGCCGGGCTTTGGCTTTTTCATAATCTTCAGGCCAAAGAAGGACGAGCTACTCGGACTCAAAGGTGGAAAGCGGTGCAGAGTGTAGACTCATGCAATGAAAATCCAGCCTAAGGGACGAAGCACCTTCTTTTTTTTGGGCGCACGTGGTTCAATGTTGACCTGGTCTAGTCTTCGACTTTCTTCATCTGCCTTCCAAGGCTGGCAGTGTACTATTGCCTTCGCAGCAGGAGTGCGATGGATGAGCTATTGAAGTCTCCGCTTCTTACGCGGCTGGTTGTTCCTGTCGAAGAATTTTCCAGCTCAGAGTCCGGCCCCACCGACAAACATGATGTCAAAAAGTTTGGCCGCTACAACGCTGCTGATCTTCGGTCAGTTTTAACGCTGCGCGACACGCCTCGGCCAGGGAAGGCCCAGCGCGGGTGAGAAGGTGCTGTTAGGATTCCGCGCTTTGAGAGACTCTGTTGGAACACACCCCAAATGTGGGAGTGGAAAAACAAGCAAGCAAGGACAACTGGGTTTGGGTGGTGTGGGGGTGCTGGAAAAAGGCGCCCCCAGGCCCAAATGCCCCCTGCACAATCTGTGCAGGGAGTGTTGAGGAGGGGATTAGAGGTGGGGTGGCTGCTACGTGCTAAACAGACACCTACGGCCCGAGGCCTCGGCGGATTTGGTGCTGTCAGAAGACGTGCTGTGCCGTTGCAGTGTAGAGATCAGTCGCCTCTGCATCTCGATGCACCCCGAGCTTACATAATCAGACTGTCACCGCAGGCTCTGATTCTGAAGTTCGTCCTTCAACCAGCTCCTGAGCTCGCGAAGACTTTGCAAGAGGTGCCATGGGTGCGCTTGATGCTCCTGCTGCTGCTGATGATGATGATGATGATTGCCATGGTGGTGAGATGGTGGCGATGATGGGTGGGGGTGGGGGGGTCGATGTCGACGGACAGCGGGAGTCTGCGATGTTGAGGTAGGTGGATGGCTTGCAAGCTCATGTTCAGCTCAATGATGCGTCAAGGTCGCACCTCTCCACAGACTACTCGTAGTACTGCAACCTGCATCTGAGATGCGTGCAGGTTCGCAGTGCCGTGGGCCGTTTCGAGGCGCCTGGGCTACCTATGTACATCTTGCGGCCAGGGGCCAGCGAGGAGCAGGCAGGGGCATATGGCATCAGCGCACGCAATGATGTCAGCACAAGGTCCATTCAAGCACACCACGCGCACAATACATCAGCATACATTGTCTGACTGTGGTTCGTGCAGGGTTGGCTGTGGGTGTTGGGACTGGGCTCCGATGTGCTGCGCGCGGAGCCTGGCATCCCGCCACGGTGTAGTTTGGTAGTCGCTCCAGAGGCTCTAAGGTTGGACACAACAAAGCCGTTGAGCCGAAGTAAGCTGCGAAGATCTGCGAAGTTCAGGTCGTCTCCGTGGAGTCTTGCAGACGTGCCAGGCTAGCTTGGGCTAGCTTGGGCGACTGATGTGATACGCAAGTAGAGGCAATTAGACACGCTTATCAATATCCTCGTTCATGTTCATAAGGAGCCAAAGTTCACCTCCTTCCTTGAGCTTCTGACCTGCTTCTACCTCAGAAGCCTGCAATTGAGGATCTGCATGCAACAGCAACACACAGCAAGGTGCAGCTCGTCGCAAGAACAGGCGACGGCCTCAAAAGTGGAAGCATCCGGCTTGAGATCTCGACTGCCGAGTGGATCGAGGTCGACATCTGCCTTGCGGGCCGCTTTTACCTACCTGGACAAGCAGCTCAGGCCGAGCATGCTTCAAGGTCAATGCTCAGAACTGGACGAGCCGTGAATTGCAACTTGAGGGACTAGAGAAAAGCTCCGAGATGGGACCATCTGCCCCTATTACCGTCCAGCGGTTTGGAATGGCCATTTAAGAGACACCTTGGTGGTCTGGGTTTCTTTGGGACTCTCTTGGTGTTCAGTTTATTGGGTTACAGTTGTGGTTGAAGTTCTTGGGACTGATGCTTCTTGGTGCTTGGGGCTCGGGGGAGTTTCTTTTGGCAGTTTCGGCCTTTTGGCTCATTCGGGCTTCAAGCCTTGAGGGCTTTGGGGTGTATGAGAGCACCCAAACCAGTCGGTGAGGGCAGGAGGCTGGAAAGCGGTATTTTGGGGGGCCTTTTGGAGGCTAGGCTGACTGTCCCACTTGCGCATTTCACCCTCTCTACCTGGGATGCTACCTGTTTTCAGAACATGTATATCCCATGTTTGTGAGTTCCTTAGTATCGGGTCGTCGAGTTTCCGAATCCGCGGTTGACGCTTCTTGAACAGATCACCTGCATACCATTGAGTACAGAAGTATGACATGTGCGATGGGGTGTTGGTGGAGCATTTGAAGGCCTTCTGAAGTTTCTCCGCGGCTCACCCTCGCGCAGCTCGGCAAAAACCTGAAGTCGCTCAATCGATTCGGGGCATCGACTGCATAGCCATTATGCGTTCAAGTTGGACACATTCTCTGCAAGGTCGTACTGGCACTCGGGTGAGGCGCGCGCTCTGCTAAATCCAGGGGTTCCCCCCGAGTTCTTTCTGTATATTCCTTTCTTGCCTAGGTAGTGCAGTGTGTGCAACGAGCCGGTCGCACAGGCAGCGTCACATGGGTTGAAAGCAGGAGATTCAGCTTGTTCCGCTTGTTCCAGTCATGTTTCGCACGTTAGATTCATTGGATGATGGATGTCAAACCCTTTATCTTGCAGGCTGGATTGTCTTGGTGGGAGATGCCGCATGCGGAAAGCCTTTCTATTTTGGGTCCAACCTGTGCCTGTGCTGCGATTATCTGCGATTCACTTCAATCTTTTTGCGAAAGCTCTCTCCTCAAACTTGAGGGCGGTCGGCTCATGCTCTGCGTAGCTGATCCGTCTTGGGGTCGGATGGGGAACCAGTTCTTGGTGCCGACTTGGGGCCGGTTTTTGAGGTTTATCCCGGTCGAATTCTGGGCCAAGGGGGCGCGGGGACCTTTTTCGAGCACTTCTCGGAGCTTGGGACAAGCCAAGAACCCCGCGGATGCTGGGGGGAGCCGAAACAGGACTGGGCTGGGGTTCTGATCACTCTCCCTATACACTCCGAAAGATCTCGTCCTTCTTGCGCGGGACCCCCCAGAACAGTCATGCTGGATGTCCGTGTTTTTGCGGTACGCTTGACGCTCGGGACTCTGTGAGTCCACCTCGGATAGGGCACAGGGCTAAGCTGACATCGGGTCCCGTCTTCGGGGATTGCGCCTGAAGCCTCCATCCTCGACCCCAGCCTCTACCTTTGTGAGCTCTTGTTTGTTTCTTTCTGTGGGTGCAAGTTTCTCTCATTTTCTCCGGTTGTGCAACCATCTGCAGTTCTTTTCCTAGGAATGGACATTTTCAAGATGCGATGGCCCTATTGCCGGAAACCCTGGCTCTTCGTTTCCGAGTTCTTCTGCATGAGTTTTTGTCGTTGTCAGGTCGGTGCCTTGGGTGGACTGGAGTGCTGAATGTGCTGAAGGCCTCGACGCGCCTCGTGCGAGCTGTATAAATTTCAAAGGCCATTGCATTGAAGATTTTTCAAGCTGCCTCACTTCAGGCGCACATGGACAAGCACGCCCTGTCGAGGAGCCCTTCAAGTGATGTGCCCAGCAAAAAGTTCGGAGTTTTATCTCTGCGTGCAGCCTTGGGATCTCATGGCTGTAGCTCGACTGTCAGGCGGTATGCTGCCGAATATCGCCGGCGTATTGCTGAAAGCAAAGGCCTGCTTTCGCCATCGCTGCATCCGATGATGATGTCATGCAATTGGCTGACTCCTGAGCTCAGGCTTCCAAAGTGTCAAAGGATCCAGTGCAAAGATCGCTGTGTGAGTTAATGCGCCGTGTACATACGTTCTGGGCTTCGAAGCAAAAAGTGCCATGGAGCCATAGGTCACCTCTGGGTGGTGTTCGTGCTTTCTGATTGGGGATAAGGGCAATGGAGTTGGAACGAACCTTTGGTTGTTGGTTACGAGGAAAGCTTCTTTGTCGAGCAGCATGACGGGCTTTTTCGAAAGCGTGTTCCTCCATAGCAACATGTATGAGTTGGATCCCGGAGGCAGATCTTGCTGAGGCCAGAGCCGATCTCGTATGATGGTCGACAAAGCTCCTTGGGCCGAGAGAAAATGCCGTCGCAGTAGTGCAGGTTGCGAGTGGTGGCATGCTACTGTGCGGCACTGTGACACGAGCGCTGCGCAGGGAAGCTGCACAGAGCCTAGACGAGGCGTGCAAGGGCTGAGGCATAGAGTAGTCCAGCAAGCAGTGTCTGCAACCTGAGGAGGTGCAGCAGACCCTCATCAACACCAGCACCGAGAGGGAGGAGAGGCCTCGATCGTTGTCATAGTTTACCATCAGGCTTAGATGCCCTTGCGCTGCTGTTTTTTGCAAGTCTTGTACAAGAGCAGGTGTGTTGTCAGCCAGAAGGTATGTGTAGCAATGTAGCATGCATGAGAGCTGCGAATGTGTGATAATGTGCGTATCTAGGCAGCATAGGAAGTCGTGGGCAGAACATCAGCTGGCGATGCCAGGCGGCGATCCGAAGAGGAAGTGAGAGATTTGAAGGTCTGATCCTCGATCGTGTGCTAAAACTGAGCGTCTGCTGAATGTGGAGCTTTGCTTTAAGCACGAGGCGACCATCGCCGAGCTTGAGTCCAGACTTCAGCAGCAAAATGAGCAGCTGAGCCGATGCGACAGCCGGCAGCAAGAGCTTTCCCACGACCTGGAGGAGGCCCCCGGATCTTGAGCCCATGCTCAGGAGTTAGAGCTTCCAGGAATTCTGCAGAGGCACGGCGGGCTGCTGACGAGCACCAGCAAGTGGCAAAGCAGGCCGACGGCTTGTGTGTTTGCAACGAGTTCCTTGCTCAACTTTGGAACATTGGTGTTGTCAGAGGCATGGCAGCAAGTCGAGCAGGCAGGAAAGCATGGGCAATCATGTTCAGAACGGGAGACAGCGAGCGCACCCGTGCATACCCATTCGCACCCACCCATGCGCACTCATGCGACCCAAGTGCACCCACGCGCCCAGGTGAAGAAGTCCTTGGGTCCGGATTGCTGTGCTCTCGAGCAGAAGGTCACAGCTCCGCCCACAGCACCGGCCACAGCACTCGCTGCTCAGCCGACGGTTTCGCCAGCGTCTTTGCCCTCTTCCAATGAGCCCACAGAGGCTCAGAGCGTCTCATAGTGGTGTTTTAGGAATATTTGGGAAGTTCTGCGGCAGGCTTCTGCTCAGCCTGGTGTGGAGTGCACGAGTCGCCGTTTGCGAGGAGCCGAAAGTAGAGGTTTGGAGGCGGTTGTCCTGTGGTTGTGAGTGCTTTCCTGATAGATCTGTTGATTCCTGATTATGGCTTAGCTACAGCCATCACGCGTGGTTGACATGACGGCAGAAAGCAACAACAGCAGCTTAGCAATTGAAGTGACTTCGTATGCCGATGACATCGTAACAGGGCTGTCGCCCAATTGGGATTCCTTTGACGCCCTAAAGTGACGCCGTGTCCAGCGATGCCACGTGCGAAGACCACGTCGGTGATGACACATGGCTCCCTGACGCCTCGTGGGCTGCTGACGCCACGTTTTGACGCTAGCGCCAGGTACGGTGACGACAGGTGTCCTGTAAAATAAGGCAAGTGGCACCTCCTTGGCAGACACAATCCTGCCCTCTGACACCTGGTGGCGGCCCCAGTTGCCACGTGGCTTGGCGAAACCACATGAGCAACTGACGCCACGTTCTGACGCCACGTCCGGTGACGCCACGTGCCTTCGTAGCAGGGTCGGATCGAAGTGGGCAGAGGGGTGTCGGCAACAGAGGCTTCACGGCGATACATCAGAACTTGGGTGATTTCGTGTCTTTGGTGTTGCCAGTGTGGCGGGGTTTCAGCAAATCGAAGACCTAGCTCCATGAAGCCTCGAAGCAGAAGGGCGCTGCAATGGGCTCCCAGGCGTATCAGGTTGGGCACGGGGGGTGAGAAGACCTGCTGCCCAGAACGTGAGCATCAGCATGCCTTGAGGCACTCAACGTACATGGCAAGTAGACTCCCACGACTTGGTTTCGCAGCCTTGTGGAACATGAGCAATCTGGCACCAAAGTTTTCACACAGTGCCTGTCACGTGCCGAAGATTAAAGAAAACCAAAAACCAAGCCATTGGAAACTGTCGGTGGCAGCTAAGACATAGGACGCTGCCAGAGAGGTTAAAAATTTTGTAGACGCCGAAACATGTCTGGTCCGATTATTTCTTATGTTTCAAGTCGCGATCCGACCGTCAGCCGCTAATTCACGATCATGCAAATGTCCAGCACTGCAGGAGGCATGGACAACATGGACAACACGGACAACATGGACAGCAAGGACAACATGGACAACAAGGACAACATAGACAAGGAAACGGCCGGCTGTGAGCAAGCTTCAGTGTCCCGAAGCCCTGATGGAGAAATTGTTGGAGAAGTTCAACAAAATGGCAAGAGCCACCTGAGTCAGCCGACCGCCCTTCCGACATCCGCATACTCGGCACCTGCAACTGCCACAACTTGGAGCTCTCCTGCGGCTTCAGGTGGGGAGAGGATGGGAGAGGGTGTTTGTACTCATATCCTAAGCAAGCCGATCTCTCAGTTCCAGGGCGAAAGGATGAAGGGGCCCTCAAAACCTAAAGCCCCCAGCCTGGCAACCTTAAACTCTTACGCGAAAGTCCCTTGTTTTGATGCCCATGCCTTTGATCCAACGGAGGTGGCTGCGACCCAGCGGTGCCAGCAGAGCACGCGGAGCACGCAGAGCACGCAGAGCACACGGAGCACGCGGAGCACATGGAGAACGCGAAGCACGTGGAGCACGTGGAGCACGCGGAGCACGCGGAGCAAGCGAAGCACGCGGAGCTCACTTCGCCCTCAAGACCCAGCAAGGCTTATGGAGACTGTTCTGCCGGTTCTGTCGGCAGTCCCTCCAGGTTTTGGCCCTAGCCTTCAGAAGCCAAAACATCCAAACCTGGCAGCCTCACAGATCGACCCAGGTGTGGTGGCAGAGCGACCCGGGATGTTGAGGTACCTGCTGGAGCAGTGCTCATAGTCTAGCGTCAGCTGCTTTAGCCTGCTGCGCTTTGGGCTGTCAGTTGCTCCCGGGTGCGGGTTCTCCACCAGGCTGCGTCCAGGACTGACTGTGGAGTGCGTGATCCGCGTCTTTTTTTGGCGTTGCCTGTGTCTGGTTTTGCTGTGTGCCCCGTGTCTGTTGGTCCCTGTGAGTAACAACCTGACTCCCCTTCTCGAAAACAGACGGAGGTATCCCCGCACAAGCAAGACGCAAATTACCACTCCGCTGTGTTTGCAGCGTGGCGAGCTCCATGTCCCGACAGAAAGAGGCCGAAGTGGCGGCGACGAACGGGTCACTCGGTGCAGATGCCGATGCCGCTTCTGCCTTTGCTTTGGCTTCAGCAGCTGCAAGCTCTGCATCGTTCCTCCTCTTCTCTTCACTGTCCATGCGACGAAGCATGGTAGCGACCAGCCGGTTCCAAACAGCAACACCTTCTCTTCTGGATGTGTTGTCAGGGACAGACTTCTTCTGCAGTCAGCGGTACAAATAAACCCAAAAGCATTTCTAACAAAAGCTTTTCAAATCACATAAACTGCCGACAACACCCCTTGGATTCGGCACTGGATGAACGCTTTTCGGGTTGGCTATCGCAGGGTCAGCTGTACTGTTGCGAGAGACAGCAGTGAGTGCCCTGTCAATTGAGCCAATCTGGGAACTCGAGTTGTGACCCAGAGAGCACCCCAGGACACGAAGAAGCAGTTGGCGCCCAAAAGACACACAGGGCAGGAAAAAGAAAGATGCAGATAGCCCAAACAGAGACGCAGATGAAACATGCTCCTGATGGGCCGCAGCACCCGAATAAAGCGTGCGGCTAGACTGAGCCTGCGAAGCCCAGTACATAGAGGGGATGCTTCTGGGCGTGATGCGTCATGTTTGTACACAGCGATGTGTTGAGACGGACATGGCGAGCCCTTCGCAGTGTACTGACTTTGCACTGTGCTGGTCTGATCTAGTGCCTTTGACCGAGTGTGTTCCCTCTGTACGCTCTGCTAATCGACGTGGCATATCCATTGCATGTTGAGTCCCCCAATTCTGTCTTCACGTGTGCAAGTAAATCGTCAAGACTTGGAGTGCCCGAACCGCCAGGATTGCTGTCAGAATGACAGGCTGCGTGCTTTGGAGATATGCATAGAGGACCTGATGCATTTGCACTTGTTAATGAATTCTCGCACGTCTGCGAAGGAAAGGCTGTTTGCAAACTGTGTGAGCCCTGTGTGAGAGGAAACACGCCGCCAGCTGGAGGCGCTTGCAGACAAGGGAGTAGCTTCAGTTAGCTTTACATGGTCTAGGAAAGGAAGTCAGAGTCAGCGTCGAAGAAGCTGCTGGCAACAGATGCTGGCTCCTACACTCTGTAGTCAGGTTTGCTTGGAGACGGCCTCAAAATCGTTCGCTCCAGTGGCTAGCCCCGAGCAGGCAGGCCTTGTGGGGCGGTCACACCAAGCAGACATAGTCATAGTGCCATTTCGCACATGTTTGGGGTTGTGCTTACGTCGGAGATGTGGACACAGGTGGCCAGACCAAGTTGCTTTGAAAAGTTTCGTCTTCTTGCTTCGGCCAGGTGCAAGCGCAAGATGCCAACCTCGAGAGTTCAGAGAGGCCTTTCGACTGCAGCACATTGCACATTGGTGTTGCTCTCGGTTTAGTTTCGTTGCACATTCTTAGGTGAAGCCGCGAAGCCTGAAAAGTTGTTGATAATGTTGCCCAAAAGCGAAATTCGAGGGCCGGGGCCCTAACAAAGCAGCTGAAGGCCCGGAATCCGTGACATCAATTAGTGTGTATACTTTGGGTTGTCCAGAATTTTCCGGAGCCTGGAGGGAGAAGATTAAACGGCCCAGCGCTAGGGCAAGGCTTCATGCCCCTCAGCCCGAAAAGCTCAAGGCTTGAAGAGCCCGGAAGGAGTCGTTAAAAGGAGAAGAGAATTGTAAATGCTTGCGCGCGCGCGCGCGGAAGGGTCCCTGTGCGGGTCCCAGCAAGGTTTCAGGGGGGTGTCAGGGGGGGGGGGGGGAAGGGTGTCAGTGTCCTGTGCCACAGCCTGGAACCCTGCCACATTGGAGTTCGGGTCCAAGCGGTTGGAGCAGATCCCTGCTTGTTCTGGACGCCTCTCGGCTGCAAACCGAGTCGAACAAAGCCTGGATCTCTTTAGCTCCAACCCTGCAACCCCTAACCCCCCAACCCCGCGACCCCACAACCCCCAACCCCCAATCCCCAACCCCAACCCATTTCACATTTTCAATGCGTGGGGGAGAAGGGGGGGGTCTTGAGATACTGAACCGAGCACAACATCATTGCCATTATTGCACGATATTTGAGCCTAGCGGTTGCTTGGAAAAGCAAACGGGCATGTACAAAATCGAGGTTGCGCACTGCTGATTTCGCGCCTGCCCAACTCCGGCTTCCGGCAGAACACTTCGTGAGCTCCCAACAGGTTGCAGGGAGCTCGGTCCGGACCTTGGGTTCTCTGGCAGTTGTGTTCAGCTTGTTTTTTTGCTATGTAATCACTCATTCACTGACGATGTCACAATGTTGAAGGCATCTCCAGCGCCTGCGCGGCCTGCTGAACTACCCGATGCACACCTACAAGCAGCCTGCAACTCGGAAAGTTCCAACAAAGCAGCTTGACGGCTTCACGTTTGGAGTTTCCGCGACCTATTGTGAGCCTGGGCCAAGTGTCTTCTCCTACGTTCCCGCTTGGCCAACGCACTTGACCCACCAGAATTGCTGCAGAAGGCTTGGCCTCTGGCTCACGTGCTTTACTGGCCAATACTAGTTAGTCCTGGGAGCGTCAGCTGCGCAAGAAGTCGAAGCCAGGCTCAAGCCATGATGCGGCTCAAGGCGCGTTGATCTCCAGCCAGGTGACTTGAGTACTGTGCTTGCTTCACGGCCTGCCGCGTTCCCGAGCGTGTCAATCAACAGCGTACAAAGAGTTTTCTCCGATGTTTGTACCTCTTCTCATATCAACATATGGCAGCAACATGTCGGTTTCATAAGCCATTGTTAAGTTTACCACATCACTTCAACCGGATCTCACAGCAGGAAAGACACAGCAATCGCATGTAGAAGAAGAAAGCGGCCGATTGCTGGCCTCGTGGGAGCCACCTACGAACAATGTTGACATGAATGCCGGTGGTTTGGGAGCTCAGTGAAGTGCGGGCATGGCTGGTATGCGAAGGAGTCATAGTGGATTCCGTGCCCAGGTGCAATGGCAGCGGCTTCTACAAGTCTGGAGTACCTTGTCTCGAGCATCCCTATTCAGCATATTCACCGGACATTGAACTTGCTTCAACTGTCTTCAAGAATTGGCCTTGCGAACGTCTGACCGCCTGACTGTTTGAGCGCCCGACCGCAGACTGTGCGTTTTCAGTGTGTGCCCCTTGGCACGCCTTGTCTCAAAAATTATTTGTAGGCAGCTGTACCCTGAACATTAATCGATATATGTGAAGATCCGAGGCTTCGTTGCAGTCGCCCACGCTCAGTCGATCTATTGTCGCCAGAGACCTGGATTTGGACAAGCGTTGTGCACCGATGACCAGCGAGCCTCACAGAGTTCGTTTTCAAGGGTCCAGAGGGGGATCAGGGGGGGGGGGGGGGGCTGTCGTGGTTGGGATCTGGACCTGCACAGCCTCGAAGAAGAGGAAGAGCAGCCTCTGCTTCCTCAACGCCGAGAGGAGGGCCACGTCAGCCAAGGAGCCATTGCCCATGGCGTGAGATCCATAAAGGCCCGAGGCCCTGAGAGCTTCATGGTGATGAATGGTTCAAAGCAGTTCCAAACATCCACTTCCGATTTTGGCAATGCCGGCAATACCTCTCATGGGGCCCGCGGTTCCGCGCCGGGCTGCGCTTGTGGGGGAGTTGGGGTCGTTGGGAAGAGGGAAGGCCATGGAAGGCCTGGAGATCTCAGTCGATTTAGTTCACACTTGCAGCAGTCTGTCATGACATCATTGGTCCTCAGCAGCACTGTTTTTGACGAGGCATTGAGCACCTGGCTGATTTGGAAGGCACGTGAAGCCCATGCACGTGGCTCATGCTTCTTCACAAGCTTCGCGAAGTTGACGCACTTCAATGTCAGGTGAGATTTCGGGAGTTGGCGAGCCTCTTGGCTCCCCGAGGTCACTTGGCACTGAGAAAATGGCGTGGAGACCAGCATGCTTAGATCCAGTGAATCTAGTGATCGAACTCAAATGCACCCAAGCTTCAGGGAAAGCGGCTGTGCCTGGCACATCTTGGTTCCAAGCTTGAGCTTGCAGGCCAGCACAGAAGCCCTTCCAAGTTTTATGACTGGCCCTTCTGTTCGGAGGCAATCCATTTCCATCTCCTGGATGCTGCATTTTCAGGCTGGGCGGCTGCAAACTCGAGGGGGTTTGCGGGGTTTGTGCCCGCTGAGTGGGTAGGCAACGATGCACTTATCATCTATGGGTCCCGTCCTCATATGAACCCTGCTTGCAGTTTCCTGACTGAGTTCCGTGGCCATCTGACGAGGTCGGGCTACATGCATGCCTCGACAAGAGTTGCCACATTCCATCGTACCAACCCGCTGCCTGGGGCCATGGCAGGATGCCTACTGAGGGTTGAGGGGTGAAGGGCTTACCAAGAGCTTTTCTGGAAAGAGTCCCGAGAGCCCCGAGAGTCCCGAGAGCGCGGAGAGCGCAGAGAGCGCAGAGACGCAGAGGCCCTAACTGGCACTTCAGAAGCTCTGCTCGTCCTCAGTGCCGTTTCCAATGAGCGTCTTGACTAGCACCGGCATAATGACCTACATGACAGTACATGACCTACATCATGACTTCCCTGCCGGTTGAACGGCCGCATGCTCCATTGTGTGTCTCAAGGACGCGCGTTCGGCTTCGTTACGAGTGCGCGTGGGGAGCCAGGGTGTGTCATTCGCCTGAAGTATAGTATCGAAGTTTGGGAGATGTATGAGGCCATATGGGACCAAACTGGGAGACACCTGGTTCTCACCGGCGCGGGCCTTCATGATGAATGAGCTGTGTGCAACTTTTTTTTTCGATGCCAGAAGGTAGTGACTATGACTGCTGTAGAGAGCGACTCTGAGGTGGGCTATGCCTGTGCAGTTACCTTGGGCACGGTGGAATTGAGTCTTTCGTTGCGCCGCTGCGTCAAGCGGCCTCAAGCGGCGTCAAGCTTGATAGAACACTCAATATACCCAGCAGCTCAGGTACTTGCTGCCTTCATAGTCTTGGGCTTCGCAATCTCTTTGATGCCTGTGCTCGGCCAAGAGGTATGCGAGCCTTGTGTTTTCACGACTGGGTCATGATGCATCCTGTTAAGCCGCTGAGGTTTATATGGTGTGCTACTGCAAGGCTCGGCGGCATCAGGAGCTTCCTTGTTTTGGGTGAGATTTGTCGTCACATGCACTCACTTCTTTTCTGTGTTATTAGAGCATCTCTTTGCGGATCATGTTTCTCAGAGGACTTGGTTATGCAAGAGTCGCAGTTGATGATCCGCTCGGAGCTCCAGGAGCTCTTGTTCACAAGGGTTTTTCGAAGTTTGAGTGAATTGCACATTGGGAATGGTTTCTTCTCACACCGCTGGTGAATGAACATCGGTGAGTGCTTCTGTGGAAGTGCTTGTGGCGGTATTACTTCTTCGGAATGTCTCTCAGAGACATTGAGCCATTGTCAATTTTGCTTCCATCTCGGCGTAGGCCCGCCGGTTGCGGAGCAGCGAAGCCGCGGGGCTCCTACAATATTTCTTGAGCATCACACAAGTTTGGTGAGCTTGAAACAGCGGCAATTGAACTTTTTAGGCAATTGAGGCTTGCATGGAGTGCAACAGTGCCATGCAGTGCTACTGTAGTCAAGTGAAGCCAAGTGAAGCTTTCAAGGCACGGGAAGAGCAGCAGGTGGTGGCGTCGTTGCAGGAGCTTCGCATTGAGACAGTTTGAGACAATTTATAACAATTTGAGATGCACTAAACGTTCATCCAATTCTTGGTGTACGGTCAGAACACCACGGAGCACACAGGCGCTGCCGCTGGAAATGTGGAAGGACCGGGGCAACGAGGAGGCACGGATCTTTGGATTCGCTACAGTTGGGTTGGTATCTTATTGAGATCGAATGAGGATTGCAAGTGCTAGGTCGGCAAGCGTCCAAGCTGTGACGAGTGCTGCCTCTGCTTAGAGCCCTACTCTGAGGAGGACAGCTTGCGCATGTTTCTAAGCGGATCATGTCAACTGAAGTTACCCAACTCAAATGGTCCAACAATGCATCTTGAAGGACATGCTTCGAGTTCTTCCCTGCCAACATTTTTTTCATGAGGCTTCTTCTAGTTCTTTGACACTTGTGACACGTCCAATGAGCCCCCCTCGAAATCGTCCGGGGGGGGGGGTGGGTCTGCCTGCCACATTTCTCCCCCCCCCCCTCACCCACTCCCCCCCCCTCACCCACTCCCCCCCCGTCCCCGCCCCCGTGAGGCAGTTGTCATCAACATCCATCACGCAGGGTTTGACTCCTCGTTGTAAACCAGGCCTGCATCGACCGCTGGTTCTCCGCCAATCGGTTCATGCCGAGGTCCTGTCCACTCTGCCAGTAACCAAGATGGTGCAACAGAAGTGCAACAGAGGTGCAACACTGAAACGCGGCGTCACATGTGCCGAATCCAGGCAAGGCTGACCCAACAGTGCAGCCTTCCTCAGCATGCGCCTCAATGACTGTCAGCATGCATTTCTTTTAACCTTTGCCGGTTGCAAAGGGCGGCACAGCGGCTGTCGCACAGGACCCTTTTCCGATTCCCTTTGAGTGCACCGTCGGTCCGAGCTTTTGACTCCTTTTTGGCCCTGGTGTCCAGATTTTGCTCTTCGTTCGGACAGGTTTTGTGATTAGAACCCTGACGAGGACGCACAGGACAGGATGACACGAAGCCCGGTGAGGTCTCCACAGCTGCTGAAAAGCACACTTCTGTGTTTCAGAATGTTTCAGATGCCGCCAGACGCAGGCCCGATTCAGCTGACACAGCAGCTGCCGTTCTGGGCACGGAGCTTGGATGCCACGTGCGAAGTAAGTAGCACATTACGGTTTACAGAACACAATAGGATAACTTTGCTGCCTCCTTTCCTCGACGTCAAACTTTTGTTGTTTGTGCCAAGTGGGGCATGTGAAATAGGTCTCGTCGAACTCGCTCGTCGAGCAATGGCCAGTAGCACTGTGGAAAATTCAGAAAATTGACGGCTTGGGTCATGCTTGGGGTACTCTGGCTCTCCACCTCTCAGCCCATCTCTCCCCCTCTCGCTCTCTCGTTTGTACGCATGTCGGCAGTGTTGTTCACTGTCACCTCGCTGTGCCAGCGAATCTCAGCAAACCTCAGCGACCCCAGACACCAGTGGCTCTTGGGGTCGTGGCCAACAAAATTCCGAAGCGTTGCGGATGTGTGATGCCAAAGCCAATGCCTGATATCGAAATCGCAGTGACTGAGCACCTACGAACGATGCACGATTTGTTGCTTGAGTGCAGCAAGCACTCCATGGGCCACACATTGGCATAATTAGCAGTGCATGCATTCTATCGTGCTCGGCTCAGACGAACCAGTGTTCGTTCTGCTTCGGATGGGATTGATAGATCCAGAGTGAACGACCTTGGCATCAGGTCGTCCTCAACAAGCATGGGAAGCGTGACCGCCTCTTCCTCTGTTTTGAATCGAAGCACGATCCATTGCTTGACGTTTGAGGGGACCTCCACCAAGGAGCTAGGGGTAAAAAGAAGCTTAACTTACATTAGACACAGTCTCAGCGGCCCGGCCGTAGTGTGCCTTGCTTTACTCCGCAGTTCTGTTGTTCCATCGCCATGCATGTGCATATGTTTTGCTCAGCTGAGTTTTCACCAGTGCAGAGGTTGCATGACAAGGCAGTTCCTTCGGAATCTCTCTTAGGTGCTTTCCTGCAGCCAGACGCATATCATGCAACCCTCTGTACATGGATAGAGAGTGCTTCAGCGATCCTTGCCGAAGGCATGGACACCTTTTGAAAGCCAACGGAACAAAATGGAACAGACTCATTTTGCATCTCATGGGCCTGTGAGTTGATGTTCTCTACGCCGCTCTACTTCTGAATGTCGGTACCAGAGAGAAGCGCTTCAATGACCTGGAGCCGCTGACTTGAAAGTTGTTGCACCGGCGTCAGACATCGCCAGACATCGTCAGACATCGTCAGACATGCAAATCCCAGGTAATGGATTACCAGCATGTTGAAAGGTTGATGTGTAATGCACTGGTTGCAGGCAGCTGTGGGTGAGATCTACGCAGTCCTCTGCCTTCAGACCAAGGTACTTGGATGCGGTCTAGTCTGCTGCTTTGTGTCATCTCACATGTGAACCCGCACGGCCTTGTACATAGAGCTCGTCATAAACGAAAACTCCTGTTTCAGTGTGGGGCTATTTACAGCACCTCTGCCCTCCGTGCTGCGGGCTGGAAATCACCGTTGCTGCTGCAAAACACGGGAGATGCCTCGACGTTCGTGATGCTCTCCTGGGACTTTGAAGCACCAATCAACCAACAGGTGGCGGGATATCTCGTGTGGGATCAGGGCTGAGGGCTGCGGGGAACAGGAGAGTGCTGGGACGGTGGGGGGGGGGGGTGGGGGCGGTCGATTCTTTCATCACAAGCATTCGCAGGATCTTGACATTGCCGGGGTTCGCCAAGATGCTTTCGTAGCCTTTGTAGTAAGACTCAAGACATTTGCTTCCGATTTGGAGAGCGGCTTGCAGGCCAAATCATTCCTGGCTCAGTCCTGGGTGGCAGAGCGGGCCCAGCGAAGGTTTAGCAGCTGGTCACTTCGATTCATCAACATGGCTACAAGTCGAAATTCCTGTCGTGATCCGGAGGAGACCGCGCCCACACACCGCCGGCCCAGGCATGGCTCAATTGTACACACTTGCTCAAATCTTGTCAAGGTGCTCAGAGCTTTTCCAGTGTACCAGGTCGAACCTCGGCAGCTCGCGGCGTTCTACCGGCATGACGATGGGAACCTAATGTACCGCATATCGTTGCATGACAAATCGCGACACCTGGCTCTTTTTCCAGTGCCGTGTGAACTGACTGGCCAGGTGCCAAACCACTTCATCACACATTCCTCCGAGGCCACTGCATGCAGCATGCGTGCCTTATGTAATATGCCTTGGAGCCTGTAGTTGTAACCACTGAGGTACAGCAACGGCGAATGACCGTACAGGCATGACGGAAAATTCGATTGGCACGTCGCCCTGCTTTCCGAGCATTTAAGCATCTTTGCAAATGCATCACTCAGCAGGTCGCTGCAGGCCAATGGACAGCCCATGCGCCCAGAGGCCAAGTTGCTATTGGCACTTCAGATAATCTCTATCACCTGTTGGTTCAGGTGATGAAACTTCTGCAGGGGTAACGGCCAGGCCAGGAGTACACACGGGAGCGAGCAGTACGCTGCAGTTCAGCGTTGAGTGTGCTGTCGGTCTCACATGATCACACAATGGTTTGGCGGCATGCATCCTTGTTGCCATCGTTGCTGGTGGGCTGTCGCCTAAATTAGGCGCCGGTGGACTGCATGCCCTCGGCCAGAGAGCGTTCCGCCCCTGGCACTCGAGTTCGTGCAGGCCGGAGCCGTCCGAAATCGTTCGAAGACTGGTCGCTGGTTCGGAAATTGGCAATGGTTTGGCTTGCGGTCGATGTATTTGTCGATATCGGCTGTGTTCATCTTGTGTGCATCTTGTGGCCAGTTCGGGGAACGAGTTCCTCCCACAGTTTCTCCCGGGGATCCTCAGCCGCATGGTGGCGACAGGTGCGACAGTGGCAAGGCATCCTGCAAGTTTTGGGGGGACATGTTTTGCTGCAGCCTGCCGGATTGTACGACGGCTTCATGGAACAATACAACGCCTGAAATTGAAGTTAATACAGCAGGACAGTGCAACCCCCTTGCACGCTTTTGATCTTCAGGCACTCGATCGGGTGCCCGCGGAGTTGTAGAGAAGTAGGGGTGCCGGGCCACCGATGCGGAAGCGGCACACAACCGGGTGCCCAGCACCAGCAGGAAACACTGATGACAATGGGACTGGATGACAGGGGAAAGCCTGGGGGCAAGGAGCTGTCCTGTTTGTTGTCTGAAGGCGAGGCGGATCGGAACTGCTTTTCGCCACTGGGCACGGAGGTTGGAGGCACACTGTGAGGATGGCCGTGTATTCACTCAACGTATCCCGGGCAGTCTTACACGGCTGCAGTTCCGACGTGGGGAGGGAGAAGCGCCTCACATTGCGTCCGCCATGGGTGCCTGATGTGCCAACAAGGGAACCTGCTGTCGGTGGTTCGACCCCTCTTCAAGCTTGTTCTCAGAAAGCAAAGAAAAGATGAAGCTTATCTTTTCAAGCCAATTTCAGGATTTTTTGTCTTGCCTCCAGGCACAACAAGAGATGGCCTCCGATGAGGCATGCCGGTCTCATGTGCAAGCTCGCCGATTCACTTTCCATGATCAGGATGCTGAGGAATTTGGCAGGTTGCACGCGGCAGTGCCATTGCTGCTGCGCGCTCGCTGATGGTCTCGCTGCCATGTTCTTCTGAGACACAATCTGAGGGCACCATTTTGTTCAATGTGCGGCACCAGGTAAGGGATGGAAAGCCAATCCGACCCATGAGCATTGGGCTTTGACGTCGCATCATGCCCGATTTGTTGGGTTTGAGCACGGTCTGAGGTTCGCCGGCCCTGTACCAATCAAAAGCCATGTCTTCCAATAGGCCAGATGCTGGAACTCATGTGTGGCCATTTTGCAGACAGGCGAGATTGCGCGGGGGGGTGTGAGGCCACGCCAGATCAAGTCAGCCTCTGCGGCCAAAAGGAGTGTCCCTGCCCGGAGCAGGCTCTGAGGGCATCTTATGTATGTCGCTTCATTACGTGGAAGTATTCGGTATGCTATGGAGAAAGAAAGAAGACACACGCCCATACTTGTAGAGTGCAGACTGCAGCTTTGGCCCTTCGTTGATGTCTGCTTTCCTTAGCTACCTTGCTTCAGGCCCTCGAGTGGCCCGAGCAGGAGCCGCAAGGCAGGTGGATGGCAAAAGCCGTTCACCGAGTCACGGGGTTGATGTTTCCAGCCTCTCCACACTTGTTCCTCGAAGACGAGAGGTCCGATGTCTGCAATTCTCAAGCAGAACTTTGGTTGATCAAGCAGCGCACCTTGGCCGGGCCTACCTCTCAGAAAGCACCGCGGCGAAGGGCTTCTAAGCACTTTCGAGGCTACCGGTCCGATAAAGAAATGTGATGAAACGCGTCGTAAGGATGCTGTGGCCCCCCATGTCGGAAGCAGTGAGCGACTGAGATGGCTTGAAGAAGAAGAATGTGCAGAGCATTGGCAGAAGTGTTTTTTGTGGACTGCGGGGTATTCAGAAGTTCCTTCGCTCTCTTTCTCTCTCTCTCTCTCTCTCTGTTGAGTTCTCTCTCTCTCCTTTTCTCGTAGCTTTTGGACCAGTAGAAGCAAGGCCAGAGGCCGACGGCCTCTTCACGGAGGCCAGCTGTTGGTTTTCTCCGACACGCTGAGTGTGTGTGTGTGTGGCCTTGACTGGTCTCAGGATGTGCCCGA